GTTTTAATATTATATACTAAAGGATATATATTAAAAAAATATTCTTTTTAGCCTTTTATTTAAAATATTTTATATATTTATAAGTAATATAATTAATTTAGCTAATTTAATAATATAGTAGATATACTAGGTTAATATAGTTATATTTTTTAATTATTTTTTTATAATTAAGGCCTTAAATAAGTGCTTAATTAATAGTAATAGTTTTAATAATATACTATATTTTTAAGGTTTACTTCTATAGGTTATTTAAATAAGTATATAATATTATTAAAGTATTTTTTATATTTATGCTTGCTTTATTTATAATATTATATTAAAATAAATTAAGTGCTATAATTTTAAGGGTAAAATTTTTATAATATTATATAATATCTTTAATTTCTTTAAAGTAATATTTATAATTACATTATTTATTATTTTTATTATTTTCTTAGGCAATGCCTTTAATTAAATTAACTAGATTTATGAAATTAACTTAAGGGATAGGTTATTAATTAGGGATTTTATTATTAATTTTTTTATTTAGTATTCTAGATATATTTAAGAGTTTAGATGTAGATTTATAAAAGTTATAGTTATTATTATTTTCAGGAGATTTTAATTATTTTAATAAATAAATAATTTTATTGCCTTTATTTATAATATATATTACTTTTAGCTTAAGAATTATAAATTATTCTTTTTTTAAGGATTTATAGTTTTTAGCTATATAGTTTAGCTTTTTATAATTATAATATTTAAATTTTTTTTTCTTCTTTTATATTATATTAAAGTCTATAGGTTTAGCTATATTACTATTGTTTTTAGTAATTAATTTTTATTATTTTTTACTTTAGTTTAACTATTCTTTGCTAAAGCTTTAATTTCTTATATTAAGTTTATAAAGTAAATTATTAGCTTTAATATATTTTTCTATAAAGAAAATAAAATTATATTTAATTTAATTTTTATTATAAACCTTTTCTTTAATGCTTTTTTTAAGTTTATTATAAAATTACTTAATAAAAGCAGGCTGTTTTTATTTAACTTTAGAGGCTAAGTTTTTAAATTTTATAGTATAATTAAAATATTTTCTTTTTTAATAAATGTTTATAAGTTTATTTTTAATTATTTAAATTTCTTTAATGTTTTTAAATACTTTAGTAAATTTTTTTTTAAACTATTTAAAACTATTAAAAACTTCTTAAACTTAAGTTAATAAGGGTTTATTTAGGTTATTAAAGTAGGCATCTTACATCAGGCAGAACTATTTAAGAGCAATTTCTTTAAGGCAAGAGGCTATAAAGGAAGTCTTTTTATATTTTATATTAAAAGTAGTTTTAAAATCTTTAAAGTAGGCCTTAAGCTAAATTTAAAAGAAATAAAGTTTATTAGTCTTGCTATTAAATATAGGTAGAGGTTATTATTTAATAAATGCCTTTATATTCTTTTTAGTAGACTTTTTATTATTAAGTTTATTTATAAAAATCTTATTTAACTTATATATATTTTTTATTAATTTAGTGGCTTTATTGCTATTTATATTCTTTTAATTAAAAATCCCTTCTATAGTAATATTTTTATTATTATCTTAAATAAAGAAAGAAGTCTTCTTTAAAGTAAATTAACTTTTAGTGCTGTTTTAAAATATAGTAGTTTAATTACTTAAAAGATCTAAAGTATCTTTTTAAATAAAAGTCATTAATATATAATATTTTAATTCTATACCTAGTATAAAGTAATTAATTCTTAAAGAATAAACCTTTAATATTAGGTTTATGTTAGTAAAGAGATATAAAAGATTTTATAAGCAGTTTTAATTATATAACTAATAACTTTAAATAAAAGTTTAATTTAGTTATTATATAAATGCTATATTAATAACTAACTATTTAAGCTATATTTAATAAGCATAATAAACAGTCTTATATAGTAAGTTATTTTATTTAGATTACAGTTAGATTATAATGCATAGGCTTACAATAGCTTACGGAAGTAATTTAATAAGGGAGCCTATAAACCGTAATCCTCCTCTGATTGGTCCGTCGGTCCTTAGTTAATCCCTAAGTACGTACCTCTAGGCTACTAATGTATAGACATGGGGTTCAGGTCGTAACAGTAGGCTTCATAGGCTTCGTAGATTTCATCGGCTCCACTGTCTATTGTTATTCTGACCAGAGTCTCCCTTTTGGGTTGCCAGCTTTCTACGGCGATCATAGGCACATCTTCGTCTATTAAGTTGAAGGCTGATGTTAAATATTGAGCTTCTAAACTAGTTCTATGCCAAGGCCCAGTTGATCCAAAGCTTCAAGACACCCTAGTTTGGCCATGAGATCAGGCCTGCTATCTCCGCCTTGCAAGTCTTTGCACGTCCATACTGTTTCCATGGCTTCTCGAACACGAATAAGAGAGGAAATTCTCCGAAGAGCGTACATTTCTTTGAGCCGCTGTACTGCAAATAATCTATCTTGCGGATCAATAGCTTCGCATCCACCCGTAAACAACGGCCAAACGTGCATAGATACCAGTGGTGACGTTATAGGAACGTTCGCTATCGCGTCCAAGCAGAGTCGAACTCGATGCAATGTACGCGGATGTGGAGAACCTATATTATATGCCACACGGAATAGATAGATTGATGCAGCAGCGTGGTATGCAGTGGCTGTATTGGCAAGATCAATATTTTCGGCAGCGTCGTGAGGCAGCCGCCAGGTTTCGAGTTTATGTTCAAATATTTGGATCAGCGACCGAACCTCTTCATTTGATGCATTCATGGCACCACTCTTCATCGACTGTAGCGAACTGATATCCGATACTATGTGGAGAATATCGAAGGCACTGTCGAAGAGCGGAGCCATGGTACTCGAGTAGCGGTGCTCATGATCAAGAATAAAAGGCGCTCTCGCATGAGCAATGGATCCCAATATGTCATGATAGCTAAAGAGACTTAGAAGGAATTGAAAACAGGGCGTCGTCGGCGCAACAGGAAGACGTTTGCGTAAACAAATGAGTTCTCTAGCAGCAGAGAGGTGACATTCGTCTGCCTCATCGACACTGCCGATAAACTGACGTCTGACTTGTAGCATCAACACAGTCGCAAGAACCGCATCAGAAAGTCTTTCCGCTGGATGTTTGAGCGCCATGGATAAAGACTGTATAGCTACCCTATGGTGCTTTCTAGCAGCAATCTCTGTATCTTTGTAAGGTAAAATTGCTGCCAAATGACTGGCAGCCACTGAGAGGATGGCGGACTGAAGAGGGCCCTTTTGTAAAGCCATGCTAGTAAAATGTTTCTGGAAAGGATTATCTGTAGGCTTTATGGAAATAAAAGAAGAGACAACCGTAATGAAATGATGAAAAAGGTGATAATCATCGAGAGAAAAGTACCAAGTCCAATAGGACGGTCCAGGCAGTATTGAAACTCCGCATAACTGCTCTCTCTCTCTTATGTTGTCGAATTGTCGATCTTTTAAGTCATTACTCCTTGAATTGCCACCTTGTTGGGATTGGATGCTCGTTGGATTTAATAGTGTGTATGGATCGCGCCTGTCGGGCGAAAAGATGCCACCCGACATCCAACCGTCCGAGGTGGAACGATTGGGTGTCGTGGCGGCATTGCCTGTAGGTGGTGAAATAATGGCAGATTGGGCCTCATTGCTGTCCGCTGCTGGTTTGGCCGCTTCACGACGGTTATCATCATGTTGGAATCGAAGGTCCTCTTTGCCGCTTGAGTCTTTGTGATGGCGCCACCTCAGCCTCAACCCATAGCCTTGGCAAGGTCTTTTTAACCTTACACAGCGACCGCAGAATGGCTTCGCTTCGTCGCATTTGTACCCTGCTTCCCGGCATGTCCAGCACCCTGACCTACATCTCTTTCCTTTCCCTCGTCCGACTGTGTTGCTGGAGCTCATTTTCAATGGCATCTCTCAAAATTGCAATCACCAAAATTAGGCGAAGCGGGAAATGAAGAAGAGTGTCAGTGGCGACATAATTTTATAATCTTGTTATAAGTCGAAAGAACATTGGCAAAAGCCAATAGCTTTCGCAGGGCAGAGGATCATTCGATAGGATTGTAGAAGCTCAGATGCTGCAGTGCAGCAGCATCAGTGTTACAGCCTGTCGTACTGGGATCTGAAGCAGAATGGACGACGACAACAGAAGACGCTCTGCGAAAGCAGGATCCGCTAGCTCTCTGCCGATAACTAATACGTAAGACCGCTAGCAGCTCCGCGGCCCACCATCACTCTGCCATCGCGGGCCGGATATCCATCGGTTCCTTTTGTCCTGCGTGGAGCGGAATATTTCACACTGTGCTATTGCTCTCTAGCACCCCCGAAGCAGACTCCATGATGTTCAACTGTGCTTCTCTTAGGTAGATCCCGAGGTTGCAAAGTACACTAAGTAGTAGGAAGAAATGAAAGCGAGAGCTTGTGGCACGGATTCTTGCTCAAACGCAAGATAAAGACAGATATACGTATAAAGCCGTGTAATTTGTTTTAAGTCACAAGTGGCTGCTCAAATGTTGAGAGAGATTGTCCGAAAAGAACACAACTGCTCCCTAACTAGCATTATGTATTTATAATGTCAGCTAGAATATGTTAAGAATTCATTAGACCATACAATTCTTTCTTTTTTCAGGAAAAAAAAAAAGGTATGTGGAATAAAAAGCTACTGGAACCAATGACTTATGCCTGCGCACAAATTCTTGGAGAACATTTCCTGTGAGGCGTGCGATGTGATTCTGGAAACGACCCCATCGGAATGAGCAAAGCCAACTGATGCTCCCACCCTGAAAACAGTGCCGCCGCCGTTCGTTTCATAATACATAATGTCAGATCTGACCTCTCTGGTCTGGGTGCTGAGGATGTTCTGAAAATGGAGTGAAATATGCTCAGGAAACCTCCCGAACCTGTCTGAATGTCATGTACTAGTCGCAACAACAGCCTGATGTGCTACCCTTGAGCTCAATTTTCAATTATCATAACATAATCCACTTTGTATAGCAAAATAAATGAGACTCTGGCAACATCTTGACTCGTACAAATATAGGAATCTATTCGGGTCTAATATATGAGAAGAGCATCCTTTCGACATTGATTGGTTTCCCATGAATAAAGCCTTGAACGAGCTCACAGATGATAACTTGAGCTGCTTCATTTTGCATATTATGCGAAGAGTGGCAAGGCCGGTGCCTTAGAAATTATAGCGTTAAGTATTCTACCGTAATTTACATCGCTGTCAATTGTGAGATCATTCTGATTCCATACAGCTTCGACCATGTGCTGAATTAAGATGACATGGTCTGATCGCTGCCGCAGTTCTCGACTCGTGTTATGCAGAATGTTTAATATTTGGAGACGTTGTTCATCTTCATTAGCCTCGCAGGCTATAACAAATAGCGGCCATGTGCCCTCACAAAAGCCAAGGTTTTGTAAAAGCAGAATGCCTTCCCTCACTAATCGCCTGTGTGAGAACGAAGACGTGGAGACAAATGATACAGTACGGTTCAAGTATATCAACGCAGCATATCGATAAAGAGCGTTTATCATGTCTTGCCTGCTAAGCGACGACTCAAAGTCTCCATGAAATGTTCCGTATTCTCCAACGGTTCCATAGAGATTTTGTCGAAGATGCTGAATACGCATCATATCGGTGTTGTCATACGGTATATGACTGTCTCCATTAGGCGATGGCCGTTTACATATGTGTCGAACGAGATCAAGGACATCTATAGGACATGTAACTCCATCGGAAGCCTGTTCCCGTGCTTATCTCAGTATTGACAACCACTAGGGAATGAGAAAATAACTTACCATAGAGCCGCTAAAAAATATTTTGCTAGGCCGGATCGCGAGAGGCCCTTTGCAGAATTTATCAATCGCATCCGCCTCTGCCCAATGTCGGAGGCTGAATTCTGACATTACTTCATGATAATAAATCCAATCCATTAATGGCATGCAGTCATGTCGATAGAGTGTAACTGAAGCCGAAACAGCAGAGATGATTTTCTTCGCTCCACAAAGATAGAAGCGCCAAAGGCCTCCGGGACTGGCCGTATTGCAAATCTAGCTTACTTAGCATGCGCAAATTGAACACAGGGAGGAAAATTCTTAAATACTTCACACTGAAAAAGAAGCATAGTAGCTATTAGATTTCGTATGACACTTTCTCTGTCGACCCGAGTTATATTTTTCTGTAGCATCGTAATAAGTCGAGCCTTATGGTATTGGCTCTCTGAGGGTCCTAGAAGCAAGATAGATGATAATGCAAATATACCTTCCAGAACCAAGTTGAAAGACGAGTTAGGTTTGACCATTGCCATTTTCAATACGAAGTTGGCCAAAGATTCGTCCATAATGGGGGCTAATATCCGTGTTCTGGTCTCTTTGACTATTCCCATAGAGTTAGGGAGCTTGAGATCACAACGAGCTTTCAAGTACCCACAATATTCTAGTAGATGTGCATCATTTCCCGAACGTAAGAATGGCGAAAGGTTTGGTAAGCGTGGTAGTGGAAAGTCATGCAAATACCCGGCTATTTCGACACCATGTTAGCGATCTGGGGTTGCACAATGGCTGAAATAAACGAAATTGCTTGCCAAGGTTAAGTTTATCTTCTAGAGCATCTGACAGTGCCACGTCTGCGAATGAGACGTTTAAAAAGGCTACACCGCGCCCCCGATTCCTCCTGGGTATTTTCGCTGGCGTGTTTGAGTCACAGTCGAGTACAATTGCCCGTCGCTTGTTTCCTTCCTGCGGCCAGGACAGTTGCATGCCATAGCCTTTGCACGATTGAAACATCTTCGCACAGTTGCCGCAAGTAGGTTTGCGCAAGTCGCATCGCACTTTACGCTCTAGAAAGGCAATCCGATTCAGCCACTGAGAGTCGGTGAATTAGAGAAAGTGTTTACCTCGACACGTCCAACAGCCTTTGATGCCCATCTCGCTAGGTTATGGCATAGGTCACTTCTCAGAATCTCGTCGACTGTCGAATCTGACTTTACAAAGGTTCCCAGAAACGTCAAGGGAACGAGCCCAGCTGTCATTTGTTCAGCTTGAGTATATTATGAGTAAGACTAGCAGCAGCTTTGCGTGCGTGCCGCCATTATTCAGCGCTCACCTCGCCCGAAGTTAGACTGCTGACTAATGGACGTACGAGCAATGTGAGATGGAGTTCGATAATAGTTGAAAAAAACAGCCCACACGCAAAAGGAAAGGCTACACGCAGGTTGGCTATATTATTAGTACTACTACTGCTACTAATACGTATTCACGCGGCATCTCAGAGTACAAGCCTATAGCTTCATCAACATAGCCTCTGGATTTTATCACCCCGGTAGCTAGTATAAGATACGCAAGTAGTAATACACTACTTTCTCTGGCTGTTCTAATTATGCTGCTACATTTGTGTCACATTGCCTTCAGCCACCATTTATCGCTTATTTTAAAATTTCCATAGACGTATTTGGCACTGCGATTACTAATGTTCCTTATATAGTTCCAATCTTCTTGAGAGCTTCTGTAGTCAACTCCTTGAGGGTTTTCCTCTTTATATTAAGAAGGCCATCACCGTCGAAAGCCAAGCCGTCCACGAGGTCGCCCGCTCCACATCCATTAAATTCGCCCACAATAATGCCGTCCAAAAGCGCAGCAAACGCATTTCCAGCAGCCAGATCTGCATTCCTCTTGTTAAGGAACTCTTGAGATGTAATTTGAGCTCTCTGAAATTTGGTGCCGAGGAGCTCTTCGTATATATCCACAATTTGGTTCATGGTCGCCCGTACTTTAGTGATGGATATGCGTTTGTTTTTAGTCTTCTCCTCGTCCATTTGAAGGACAGCGATAATGGCAGCCCCGATAAAAGGAAGTGAGCACCCTGCGAAATAGTGATCTCCACTATCGAGCACGGTTATCTTGCGATTTTTGGGTTCGAATAAGCCAAAATCTCCTTCTAGCCATGAAACCATGAAGGCAGATGGAACAAGTGTCGTAAAGCTCGTAGGCCCTCCTTCGTCAGCCAGAGAGATGAATTTTCGAGCAGTAACAACAGCTGAGGATCATCAGGCCAGATCCCGCCTTCGGTCAGGAGGCTCACTGCGGCAGGATGTAAAATGTCTAAAGTGTATTCTGAAGGAAATATGCGTCGAACGCCAGCTTCCTGTGCCGCTTTAAGAAGTAGCCGATCGATGGATTTGGATGAAGGACCAGGGATGAAAGATAAGATTGCATCAGCCCCCGCGACAGTTTTCACAAGGCCATTATGATCATTGTAATCAACCGGAACAACCCTTGCGCCAGGTATGAATGCTACTGCCTTTCCACTATCGACTCGAGTCAATATGGTAACATCGAACTTGGGCTTTGTTGAGGCTAAGATGGCGCGGCTCGCATGGCCAGCCAAATATCCCGTGGTCCCAGCAATAATAAGCTTAGTGAAAACCATGGTGGAATAGCTGCAATAACGTTGTTTAGACGTGAGAGATTGATGATATTCAGTTCAACTACATATTTCATGTCCATATGTTTCTCTATATATAATGTGAGTTAGAAGCACTCTGATCATCAAATTCTTTCTCTCTCTCTCTTTCTCTTTCTCTTTCTCTTTCTCTTTCTCTTTCTCTTTCCCTCTAGTTTTGTGCGCGTTATTGCAAAGCAGGCTCTGTTGTGTAAACCCAAGAAACTTTTAGCGAAATCACTGTCATCGACCACAAAAGCAACAGATGTACTCATCAAAAACGAGACTAGTGGATAGAGTGGAGACGCAGGAACGCTGTACAGCATGACAGCAACTATTTCCGGAGTAAATCATGATGCCAATTATTAGTAAGATGGCTAAATACTATAACATGCAGGTATAAATGACTGATATAAGAAGCACAATCTAGCGGTAGGAATTAGCGATATCAGGAGCATATACTACGTAAACTGCGTGATTTTTGACACATTACTTCGGTATGACCCAAAACGTTGCTCTAATCCTGGGCTATGGGCCTACAGTTGGGGTCGCCGTTGCTCAAGCATTTGCAGCAAAGGGCTACAAAATTGCAATAGTCTCCCGCAGAAATAGAGACTCAGAAAGCGAAAAAGACTATCTCCAGATTCAGTCAGATCTCTCTGACCCTTCCTCAGTTGAGCTTATTTTCTCCAGAGTTATTAGTGAATTTGGTCATCCAAGTGTTGTGCTCTACAATGGTGCGTCCCTTCATTTCTGCGCGAAGCGGGAAGCTTTCAGCGGAGGGCAAAGTTAACGCTTTAAGATAATTAGCTTCCTCATCTACTCTAATGAATTCTTCAACAGCGCTATCGGAACAGGTTGCAGCTTTTCAATCTGATAATAATGTTAATATTGTGTCTGCCTATGTTGCAGCGCAGTTGGCTAATAAATCCTTCGCTATGCTCCCCCCACAGTCATCAAAGACGTTCATTTATACCGGAAACAAACTTCCTTTCATGATTGTGCGGCCGCTATTATTCCACGGCGTTGGAAAGGCTGGCTCCGCACACTTATTACATTATCTCGCAGAAGAGTACAAGGATTCCGGATACAAGTGAGTAATAGCGAAAGTGTAGATCTTATTTTTCTATTCTTCCATTTTTTTTTCTAACGGAAGCTATACAGATTTTATTAAGCTGATGAGCGCAGACTGGACGGAGACCCAGTTTATGCCGATATTGATGGTGACGCGCATGGCATATTTTACACCCAGTTGCCTGATGGGGAATCCAAAACGATGCTGTGGTAATGCAATTGTAGACATAAGATAATACAATAATACAATTGAATGATATATTCCGGTGTACACCTCTTTACCTAAGGTGGTGCTATGCAGATTTCAGGAAACAGACTGTCGTTCGTTCGGCACTGAACGATCTATTCTGTTTATAAAACATCAATTGAACAAATATGTTACATAATATGTTGTGAGTTCTTATGCTTCAAATCGTATGAGTCGCATTACTAAAAGGCCGCAAGCCAAATCTAACAAACAAGGGATACCTCGTCTATAACGAAGTACTAGGATGGGTATTGCTATATAGGAGCATACACCAAGGTTACATGCTTTTGAGCCTAAATTTAAAATGAACGAGTTATGACATTTCCGATATAAATGGTTATCACAGATCTATGGGTGAGGAGAGGACGACATCTTAGATTCTCGGCGCGAACTGATTAACGCACTACAAGCATAGGGCTGGTTTCTAACCGACCGATAGCACAGATGGAACGATACAAGATCATTGAAGAGATGCATCCGATATTCACAGGTTTCTAATGATTAACTAAATGTCAAGGAAATTTTCACTAAGAAAAAAGAATATGTTCAATAGAAGAGAAGATAACGAGTAAGACACGAAATGACTAACTGCGCCTGCGTTCTCTCAAAGTCTATGCGCGGGAGAAGCAAGCTGCTGCCAGAGCAGTGTCAGTCCAAGTGTTTCCGTTTTGGGTCGGCGTCAAGGTCAGTGCGTAAGTGCTATCAAATGAGCCCGCACCCCAGCCAAGGTAACCGAGGAAAACGTCAGAGTTTTGGTTGAGGAACTGGTTCTGTTGGCACACGTCCTGAATGCATGACTGAGTGTTGCCGCCACCAGTTTCGGTCAGAATAGCTTGGCGTTTGTTCTGGCGAAGCCAGGTTGCGACAGGCTGGAATGCGGTAGCGATGTTGTTAGTGACGCAAGTTGTGGAAGTGCCAGAATTATCTGAGTCAAGGTATTTGTGGAGATCAAAGATCAAATTCGTTGTTGAACCATCCGGGTTCTTCACTTGAGATAAGGCAGTGGAACTGCCATCGCTAAGGAAGTTTCCGGCAGACTGATAATCGGTTCCTGGTAGTGAAATGAATTGCGTCGTGGCACCCGCGTTACGGATGGCGGTAACAACGGCTTGCACAGTCGTGGCCCAAGTGTTAATATCCACATCATGTGGCTCATTAACAATGCCAAACCAAATTTTCGACTGGGAGGCGTATTTAGTTGCTAATTGGGTCCAAAGGTTGGTGAACTGAGCATTTGTAGGGCCTCCTTGGCCAATAATCGCGCCATTCCAACGTGCATAGTTATGGATATCGACAATACAGTATGCTCCCGTGGCTAAGCAGCCTTGAACGAGCTGGTCATAATAGCCGAGATTGGTGGCATCCAAAGTTCCACCCAGATTGTTGTTAACAAGATATTGCCACCCAACAGGTAGACGGAAGATGTTTAATTTATCATTATTGACAAAGTGCTGCATCTGACCAATACCATCTGGATAGTTGTTCGCACCATCAAAGTTTTTCAATGGTGGATATACTTGCGAAGTAACACAGGTTCCATCAGTTGTGCAGCCAAAGTCGAATCCAGCAATGTTAATGCCAGCAAATCGCGTCTGACCAGAGCCAGTTGGTGCGGAAGCTGAAGATGTTGTGGTTGACCCAGAACCTGGTGGTTTGGTCGAGGTAGTCGATGTAGTGAAGCTGGTTGCGCCGGGAATGCACTGGGCGTAATAGGGGTTAAGTGTTGAGCATGCAGAACCAGAAGCACAGTTTGTCGGACCGCTGTAGCCTGTACCTCCACATTGTCCCCAAACAGTTTGTGTCTGTGCAATAGCACCGCTTGCCATAAGCGTGGCAGCGAGCAGCAACGGGGCCATGGGCTTATTCATTGTGAGTTCAGGAAACAAAGATAAAACCAGCACTAGCAAACATGATTAGCAAGGATATATCGTTATTGCTGGGCAAAATCTGAAGCTGCATAAATTGGGATCTGACTGGAAAATGGTATCAAACTGCAGAAATTACCGACCTTGGTGTTTCACAATCCGTTTTGCTCTCAGTTTAAAAGCTTAAGTTGTAAGATCACCTAGTGGGATTATACACCTTTTTAGAGAGATAGAAAGAGAGAGGAGAGCTGGTAAATCAAGGAGTGTAGTTTTGAATGATATTGAGGTTATCCATGTTCACATTTCTGGGTTCCCAAGCAGACTTTATACTTCTAGCGATCTATTCCATAATACCCAAGTTACTGATCTCAACGAACTGGCTTGGTGGAGCCATCTAGCGGTCCTTGAAAGCTCCATCCGCTTTACGTTAGCAGAAAAATAGCCACCTGAAGTGTAATATCTGGTAAATGAGCCTACACTGTCCAGGTTGTCATGTTTCGAGATCCTAGGCAATATTCATAGTAATTGAGCCTGAATGAGACATATTTGGCCGTTGAGGCTCTCGAAAGTGGGCGCCATACTCTGTCATCCGTTCATTCTTGCATGCAGGGGCACTGTATACTGCCAGATTAATCTATATAGTAGTAAGTCAGCAAGGTTACATAGGCCTTGGCCTGCTCTTATTCCAGCCCCTGCCCTATAGCCGGTCGGCAAAAACCTCGATGCAACTAGCCCCACTAGACTCAAATTATGCAAGTGGCTCTTTCATCGAAGAAACACAATTCAGCCAAATAAGATGACTACTACGATGAAAGAATATAGATCCCATAGTGTATTGTTTATATATATAGCCTATCGGCTATTACATTCTCAACAGCCTTAATGTATAAGTCAGCCTCAGGTATCAAGTGCCAGATGTTTTGTAATTTCTAAAGGCTCTTTTTTGATGAGATATATTATGAAACACCAGCAGGTAGGTAATATAACGCAATTGTATAATACATTGCGAGCAACGATGGCAATAATAATGATAGTAGTAATAATAAGGGCGATGTTGCGTGACGTATAGTGTTTTTAGCATTGCTTATGTTGACGTAGAAGGACCTCAGTATAATTGGCGAGTCTGCAATTCTTTTCGTCTCTGATTGAGGGTAGAATCCCTGGATTGAACAACCCCTTAATAATTTAGATGCGATCAGGAAGATTAAAATAACCCAAATTAACACGGGACCCTTTAATTTTAAATACATCGCTCCAACAAATCATGAGCTATCCCGAAGCCGACCCGGAAACCAAACTTTTCTCTTCTTGGAGAAGAGGGGCAGTCAGACTGCTCTACTCCAACATCAGGTGCGGAGTATAGCGGCACATTCCTAAGTAAATAGAGAAAGCGCTTAGAATGATTTTAAAGAAATTATACAAGTAAGGCAGCGTCATTTACCTTTCAGGTGAGGGCCATATGCTATATATCATCGAGGGTCTGAATGTTAAAATAATAATGCGCTCGCTAGTACTTTGGAAGTAGGGAAGCTGCTATGATAACGTAAGTGGAGCAAAAGCAGAAGCACAGCGAGAGCTGCAAGAATATGATATATATATATATGTGGGTTTTTTTTAGTACAGTTTCCTATATGGTTTCTATTATATATCTGCTGATAGTAGAGTTTCTGTGTTACTCAATACATCCCTATCAACCCTGTTCTGTTGAACTCCAGCTATTATTTATCTTGTTATGAATGATAGTACTGCTCGTTCTTGTATGACAGCTATCTCTTCGTTTAACAGTTGACGGTGTCAACAGTGATTTGGTTGCCAAATTTCTATATAATTTAGACAACATCAACGATGACTTCGTCGCCAAATTTCTCTTTGATTTTGTTCACATTCTCTTCTGTTGTTCTATTCCAGAGTCAGCTATAAATTTCCCTCATTAGCTAGACATCTCCACTCACTGGAAAGAGAAAACAGGCACCATGGAGGCTGTGGTGGAAACGGTTCGTCCAATCAGAGACTCGATAAAACTGTGACAGTTATTAGCGCTAATTGCAACTTTTTGCAGGGAATACCAAGTACTATTAACATACGTCTCAATTGCGTCGGCATTGGCAGCCTTTTGAGGGCGTACCTGAACGGATTGCTGTTTATGCAACGTTAGATGGGTATTGAGCGGTTCAGCGTGATATAGTAGACATACAATTGCCATTGTGAATGTTTGGTAGTAAAAATAGAACTTTGGGAGAGACGTTTGAGAAATTGGTAGAAGACGGTGTTGATTGTAGCACAGAAAAAATGGTTCGTAGAAGAGTTGGCTATGGCCTCTTTATAATTCTTGAACTCTTACTTTAGAAAATGCGCTATCCACTAATTGAGGGACCAGGTAGATGATACGGAGTGTTATTGACGTGGCTGTCTATCCATTCCTACAAGCCACATTGGGCAGCATTATATACGTGGCAGCATGCGGCACCAATAAGACATGTAGCGCGCAGTAATAGGTGCATTCGCCAGCAATCAGGCGCTGTTGTTCATACATGCAGCAACCTGCAGCATCTAGCGTCCAATGGGTATCGCAGATGGAACTCGCTTGCTGGTTCCGTGTCCCGCAGCGCTCTTTGCCCCTCTTCTCCCGCTACATTATTGGCTGAAGAGATGTGAGGTGTACTAAGAATTTTCTTCATGCTTCGACTATGCGAGTCAAGCTGCAGCTACCTGAGTCCGATCTTACCGCCAGTTTTCCACGAATCTTCAGCTTAAAAACAAGGGCCTTTGTTAAACGGTAACGATAGTAATTTCGTCGTCAATGAGTATGCTAGACTGAAACACAAATCCGCATATATATGCACTGCTTAGTCCTTACTAATACAGAAGATAGGCGGGATATATAGCCGTATGATTAACTGGAGTACAGCACCCGCAGCGATAATCAGCACCAATAGCTCACTATTGTACTCCATAAGTGGAGTGGAGAATGCTTTCGTACTTGGGCACCTATTATTGTGTGTTGTTCAGGCGTGCAATGGACTTATTAGGCTCTCCCCGCCAAGAACCATCCCATAATTCCGTATAGAGTGCTGCGGCTCATTTCTTCAATCAACTACTAACTTACGATAAACGCATAGTCGCGGCCGAGCAAGATATGGAGGAACCTGGAAGATTTTGCGAGAAATGCCAGAAGTTCAACTTGAGCACAGCAGCCTTCCGCTCATCGCCCTACAATGAGCAGCGGATGCATCAGCTGGGTAGATTCGTCGAAGTCGAAGCGCGCACCAATTGCGCTCTTTGCCGGTTTCTAACTGAAGCCTTTCTTAATGGACCGGGCACCCGTGAAGTTTTGCAAAATAAAGCTTTAGTCCAGGGTACATGGTCCTCTATATCAGAAGGCCAGCCAAATGCTTCTTTGTTATTTTGGCTTGTAGCGAACAGCGAGGTCGACAAAATCGAATTCAGCATTAGACATGTCAGAGATGATGAAGTACCCATGCTCGGAGATGCGAGGGTTATAAACGATGCGTTTATCAACGTAAATCTGGTCAAAAAGTGGATTAATCTTTGTGAAAAGGAACATAAATGCAAGAGCGTTCCTATAGAAGCAACACGAGCTTCTCAGCTACCTGACGGATTTATGGTGATCGACGTTATTGATAAATGTCTTATCAACAAGTCACATCCGTGTCGATACCTGGCGCTAAGCTATGTGTGGGGTAATAGCATAGCTTTCATGACGACTTCTCACAACGTCGATGAGCTACGAGCGAACGGCTCGATTCGAGACATCTGGAATCAGCTATGTCCGACAATTCAAGATGCTATACTGTTTACTCGCCAACTAGGGGAGCGTTACATCTGGATTGATAGTCTGTGCATATTACAGGATAATGCACAGAATGCGGCCGCTAATATTGAGGCTATGGACTCGATATATAGATACGCGACAATAGTTTTGCTAGTTGCAGAAGACAATGCAGCACTGAGGGGCTTGCCCGGAGTTTCGAATCCTCGTCAATTACATCAATTTCGCTCAGAGCTTCTGCCTGGATTACCTGTTCTAGGTCGCTTTAACCACAGCGCGTACATGGAGCGAGCCAAATATAGATCGCGAGGATGGACGTGCGTATTACTGCTTGGAAGATTGTCGCGTGCGTAGTGGTATGACTAACCTTATGAAGTTATCAAGAAGAACAGCTTAGTACACGAGCGCTTATTTTCGCAAACGACCAGTTATATTTCGTATGCCCTTCACATGTTTTTGGGGAAGATATTCATGAAGGAAACCAGTTAGGGCCGGATAAACTTCTTAGATTCCCAGACATTACGTCCAAGTATATCTGTGAGGGTCAAGCTCAGTCCATTATGTATTTCCGAGCTGTACAAGCTTATACTCTGAGAACCTTGACCTTCCCATCTGATACGCTGAAGGCCTTCAGCGGCATAGGTGCTGTGTTGAGCCAGGCGCTTTCATCGCCACTGATTTACGGACTCCCTGCGTCTATTTTTGATCTAGCTCTTCTCTGGCAGCCGGCTGGTAAAATGAGCCGGAAAGAAGGCTTCCCTTCGTGGAGCTGGGCTGGGTGGCATGGCGCTGCGCAGTGGAATGGAGATACAATGGAGCTTGCGTCGTATGGACCTCTGCCAAGTCCCAGGCAAGAACAAGAAGTAATAACAACATGGATTAGGACGCGCACTTGGATTGAATGGAAATACAGAGATGAAGATGGAACTGAAAAACTGGTATGGAACTATAACAGAGAGGGGAAAGCCGGGTGTATGTTTTGGCCTTCCTCTGGATATAACGAGATTTTAGAAATTGGCTACGACTCCAAGGCTGCGACTAAAAAAAACCCCTTTGGTCGTCACTTCAACTCTGATTCAGTCATATCAGGTTATAAATCTCGCTACCTATCGCCAACCGCCGTGAGCTCCTATCTGACAAATATTCCTGATAATCTCCAGCCTCTATATTTTCAGACACTTTCGGTTAAATTCTACATCAAACCTTCAGACTGTTACCTTCGTTATGGCTCTGTTGATCCGGTTTGGGAGCCAAATGGGCGTGTGGTCTTTTTGCTGTATACTGAAGACTTACACACCTGTGGTTACGTTTTACTTGATGAAATATGGACGTCTAGATTTTCCGCTAAAGAGCCTTATGAGTTTTTACTTCTTTCGGAAGCAAATTATCACTGTGAATGGAGACGCCCGCATGATGACCACCCATACAAAAGGTTCTACAGCTATCAAGATTATGAAGAGTTTCACACTATGATGATAGAGTGGAAAGCTGTTGGCAGAGACGGTGCTAACGCTGCTGAGAGAGTCGGTCTGGGAAGAGTTCTAAAAGAGGCCGTAAGGAATACTGATGCGAGGATTATGGCTTGGAAAGAAGTTACTCTTATTTAAGATGTTTTACGCAGTATAAGACTCAGTATAAGGGTATCTTTCCCTAGTCGCGACATATCTTTAAATTGTTGAAACGCATTAGTGAGCTACATGTGAAGATGAGGCAACTAAAGATGCTAGCTTTGTTTTCTTGGTTGGCGGGGCATATCTCGAGTGACAACGGTCTTAAGCCGGGCTGATGTCGCTAGACTTGTTGAACCGGAGAAGATACTTCATCCTGAACCTTCCATTCCACCAATTTTTGTCCATACCGTTGAAAACTGAGACCAATATTCTATATGTCCTATTTGTTCAACACTTATATCTTGCGACAACTTGGTGAAATTATTTTTTGTCTGACTGTTTATCTCTTACTGAATCGCTACTATTATGTGTAAGCTATCTTTATTATGCGGCTTTATATGTATTGTCGATTAGCAAATAGATGGCTCAGCTTGAAGTTTGCTTAGGTAAAAAAATCTATTCATAAGAGTTTATGATTCAGACAGTGTGGACATATTCTAAACCAATGCCGTCATGTATTGTTCTTGTGCTATTTCATAACATGAAATATAATCTCTGAAGACCCAATGGCTTTAACACGACGAATATCGCAGGGCTGTATTTGCCAAATGCTCAATAGCGGTGTCGCAGTTACGGCCTTGTAGCCTGCCGCCCGAAATCCGTCGTTCTTTTTTGGCCCTGTCTGCTAACCTCTTCGTGGCGATCCTGCCGAACTCCGTTGTTTGTCAGCCGAGAACCGCTACACGAGAACCGCTACCATGCCGTCTGTGGTAATCTTCTGCGGGCTTTCTCCTGATTTACTGCACAATCACTTTCGAAAAGCAAATTTGTGGAGTAATTTATACCACCTTAGATCTAGTCACAATGACGACCTGCCTAGGTAGAATGTCTTCATTGATATGATTGCTTTGTTTTTGTAATGGTCTGATGCGTGCTTCGGATCTACTGCATATAAGGGTCTGTGATCGCTCAAAGTGTTTATAAAGCCTGGTATATCCCACTATAACGAGCCCCAATTAGTTGTAGATGGTACTACTCTAACTCTCCTGCCTGGTTCCTAAAAATGAAGCCGAACACTCTTCTAGCGGCGCTTCCCCTCCTACCAGCAGTGGTAGCAGCCCTTGGCTCTACAATAAAAGTTGCGGCTCCTGGCACGGTTCCTTCAGGTGCTTCTCAAATCGTGGACCATGCCTTTGCTTCTTTCTCTTTTCCGGCACATTGGCTACCCGATTTTGCTGGTAGGCACCCATCGAAACTCGGAACAGAGTAGTTTATGCTAATGGAACTCTGATAGGAAACAATACTCACCCCAATTTGTTTTCCCGTGATATTTTAGATCTTTTATACAGAAAGACTGGGAAACACCCGTACATTCGAGTGGGAGGGACATCTGCGTAAGCTCAATTTTACCAACAACAAACACCCGAAGTCCTGACATTAGATGACAGAGATCGCACTTACTATAATGCGTCGCAAGAACTGTCGATTCAAGTAGACACAGGTGCCAATGGCATCCCGTCAGCAGTATATATTGGACCGGTCTATTTTGAGGCTTTCAATAACTTTCCAGGCTCCTTGTGGAGCTTCCAGGCTAATCTTGCAAACAATGCTAGCTGGGGCCTTAACAACACAATGGAAGTATGCAAACTCGTAATGAACACGCTTAAAGGCAGCTTAATCGACTTTGAGATTGGCAACGAAGTGGACCTCTATCCGTGTGGTGTTCGCCCTTGTGGATATACCGTCTATGATTATCTTCAGGAGTGGACAAGATACGCCGATGCGATCTCCGAAAACGTTCTCAAGGGAAACCCGTATGGCCTAGACGAACAAAAATTCTTCCAGGCTCTTGTATTTGCAAACGCTCAGCTAAATACTTTCACAACGTTAGCTAAATGCCCTAAACTATTTTTATAAATCTAGGACTGACTACAGCGAAGGCAAAATGCGTTTAACGGAGGTATCGATTTGACCAATCACGTTAAATCAGTTTCTCTGCATCAGTAAGCAGCGATCTACATCACCCAAATCTATGTCACATAACACCAGCTAATCTTAGAGGCAGCTATGCGGCTGGTAACCAGGCTTGGGTTAGACTACAGGGTATTTCTACAAGTTCCATTGTTTTTTATCCGAGTCTAACTTGTCGCTAACATACCACAGAGACTTTCATGAACCACACGGCTGTTGTGGCTAATCTTAGCATCTACTCTCCTGCCAACACTTACTTAAAAACCAACTATCCGGATGTCACCTTCTTGCTTGGGGAGACAAATAGCGATTATACTAACCTCCTCATGAGCCAAGTAGAGGGCGTTTTTGGCAGTTCATTATGGCTGATTGACTATCTTATGTACGGGATGTCTCTAGTGCGTGAGATCTTTACTTGGACTGCTCGTGAAGACGGATTTCTGACCAGAAGAGCAGAATATTTCCCGGTTTAACCTAATCCAGGGTACCACCTTTGGATATACAGGTTGGGTGCCTGTCCCTACGGGCAACATGAAACCTTACGTCCGACCACCACTTTACGGCCAAATTGTAGTAGCAGATATCATTGGCCATAACCCTGAAGTTCAAATTCTTCCCATTGAACTTGGCTCTGCGATGTGGAGATTTTCTGCCTATGCCGTTTATGAGTCGTCCAAGCTGAGAAAATACGTGCTAATTAATCTCGATGAGTGGAATTCCACAACTCGATACCCTCGGCCAAGTCAGAAAGTCTCACTACGTATTCCTTCTGGAGTAAGAGGCGCCACAGCACAGAGGCTTCTTGGGACAGGAGCTAGCGCTGACTCTGGTATCTCTTGGGGTGGTCTCAGCTGGAACTACACACACGGGCGGCTTGAGCAGTCAGGTAGGCCTCACTACGAGGCACTACCGGTTGCAAGAGGGGAGGCCACATTGTCCATTCCTTCTACAGAAGCCGTTGTAGTTACGTTCGATCAGCCAATATACTAGTGATCGAGCTGGTATACAACATGTATTTACACCAGCTAGCAAAAATGGCATGCTTATCTATCGTCATATTGATTGTTATCCTGTTCACACAATAAGCAAATGATGTGGCTCACAGGGATCATAGAATCAAACTCTCGCATGTATATAACTACATAGGTAGTCATAGAAAGCGGTAGCGGAAATACGCAGCTTATATTAAAGGTAATTGCATCTTATAATATTTCTTTTAAACCCAGCAGAACCTACAAGGAATATGCCTATCTCTGCTGGTTTAGTATTGAATGGATTGCATGGTAAAGGATTCTACATACTCAAAGCTGTTATGCTCGACTAAAGTATCGCAAGGCATATCTTCATTGTCGGTATTGAATTCTAACAGGAGGGTTTGTAAATATCGCTAGTTGCATTATAACGTTAGGCGCCTGTGAGCGCCTGTACCAGCGGTATTAAGTATATCTCGAATTGATGAGTGTATGATTTTCTAAGTCACTCTTCATCATATGTTCCCAGTTCCTTCTTGTTCAATTCTGCCCAAAACCTTTGGATTTCAGCCATAAACGCCTCTTCCGACCAAACGAACGCCTTAAATATGTGGAGAACTGTCGACAATGAACCATATGCGCTCATAAATTCGTAAGGAAATTTCTGGTTTATAAGAGAGATATAGGCTGAGCATGTTGGACCAGCAGACAGATACGCTCCCCCTGTATATAGAAGCCAGAGGAATATATCAGGGTCGTCCTCCCAAACGCTATTGATATCCGCTTGTTCTAGTTTGTCGAGTAACACAGTTGATACATGTGCATATTAATCTGTGTAAGTATTATTTTTCGACGAAAAGTTCAAATTGGAGAAGAAGTAAGGATTAAGTATAAAAGATACAGCGTACTAACAGGAAGTGCCAAAGCTTTCCAAGCTTTTGAGCATAACTGACACGCTGAAATGTATGTCGCAAGATAACAGCATTCTGGGAAAAGAGAAGGTTTTGGCAAGTATGCAAGTCTGGACTGGACTGACCCTTGGTGGCTATCGTATCGCATTATTTCTGCAGTGTCACGACAAACAAAATTGGGCGAGTCCCGAATGCATTGCAATGCGTAGGTGTCTTATAATACTCTAATAAATTCGTCATTGAATAAATGAGGCCGTGCCCGGAAACCTGGCGAAAGGGTATAGAAATTTGGAGTGAATGGATCTCTTCTCCACTCTACTTCAACAAACGTTGTGTGATCGAATAGTCGAAAAGATCCAGCTGAAACATCAGCGTTGTATCATCATATCAACGTACCAGAAAATGGCACGTTTGATACTCCCATTTAAGTAAATATTTTCATCTCTGCATAAGTATAGTAGTTGGCGTATTGCTTTCATGTGCAATTGAACCTGGGAGCGCATTCCCAATCGAGCCTGGTGACGAGTCTTAGTGCTGGGGACATTCACATGATCTTATTCGGTGACTACGGACCTCTACGCCCGCGAGGAGTAAAATGGCTCCGATGACCGCCACCGAAGCCCCGTTTTCTGGGCGATCCATCCGTTCGCGAACGGATTTAGTTGATCTATTCGAATACATGAGACATTCTTGATTAATATTTCCATCAGTCACCCCAAGTGCGAAGGTGAGCATAACAGCATTGAATAGTGCAGGGTCGTCAACACCGGCGAGGAAAACTGATTCAAAAGCCTGAAACTCGACGTCGTCTTCTTTCAAAGTGAACACAGGCTCACCAGCTTGTCTTTCTGAGTCTTCCCGAAATAATTGTTCAAAATTATTAAGGCATCTCGAGAAGAAAAGTAAAATGTGAATCCTCCTTACTCTGTTTTATCAATGTTTTAAGCCTCGACGCATCATAGGTTTGTAAGTTAAATACTTTGTTCGAAGGAGAGAGTGCTGACGTAGTGGGGGATAAATGATCGGCTGTTTTGTTGTGTTGGCCCTCGTGTGTTATGATAGGAGATTTAACATTCTGCTTTTCTTGACGTTCACGCTTTACTCTGATAGCTTGCTTAATTGCATGCGAGCGAGCTATGCGTCTAGGTATCTTCTTCTTCTTCCTCTTTTTTAATACTTTTTATAATAGAAAAACTCCGATAAAAAATGAATAAAATAATTTTGATAGCTACCAGGCATTTCATCCTTTTCTGCTGTAACTTCACCAGTAGCACAGATATTTTGGCTTTGTTTCAAAATGACGAAGCCATAGTTGATTTAGCATTTATAATAACTCTATACCATGGCAATCAATGTTACATAGTGCATAAAACCACTGGCAATGCGGAGAGAAAAGGATGGTAAAAGAGTACTCCTCAGACGGCATTGAGGTAGTCATACGTTGTGGGCAATTAAAAGGCATAGCGAAAGTTGACATTCTCCTTATCCGTCAAGTCTTCCCATGCATGCAGCATTCGCTCATCTCGAGCCTGTTGAACTCCAGTTGCGGCCAGATTGTCTCGTTTCTTGTTCTCCCAAGATAGATAAAAGCGCAAAGAGAAGATTACGATAACAAGGAGGGAATAGCATCCAAGATGAGTGGCGAATGCGATGAAATATCGAGGAGCATTCCACCAGAGAAACACCTGAGGACCTAATTTTTGCGGATTAGCGTTAGTTTTAAACTAGAGAAGGTTTTCCTTTATGCGGCTCACCAATTGCATTGCCTGTGGCCCAAAAAATAAAATTTAGAGCCACAGCAACGCTCTTTTTTGTCTGTCCAGCAATATTTCGCGATAACAGAGATAATGCCAAAGTTTGAGAAGCCCAGAAAGACATAGTAATATTATAGCAGACCACAAGTCCGATCTTTTGGCTTCTGGTATCTAGAGGGACTGTCATGAGGCAAATAGTACCAATGAAAGATCTATATAAGACATACATTAGCGCTCTATCTCCATTTGATCATTATATTCTGTTACTGGAAACGTACGGGATGACAAATGCGCCCATTATATATAGGTTTTGGTTGGTCAACTTGACTAACCAAGTCGAACCCAGGAGCACTATAATGATATAAAATCCAAGTACCATGGCGAGCAGTTGAGTCTGTAGTACTGTGAATCCCATACCCTGAATAATGATGCCTTGGAAAGCGCCAAGGCCAGATGTAGGTAGAGTCGTGCAGAATTGTATCAAACAATAACCCCAGATTTGAGGGTCTTTTAAGCCTTCAATGAACTGGTATTTCTTCCATTTTCGGTTTTGAATGCCAGTTTGGTTATCTCGAACTCTCTCAATCATGAGAGTCTTGTCTTCTTCGCTGAAACACTTGGCTCGCATGGGTGAATCAGGCATCCACCATACAACAAACAGCCCGAAAATAATCGAAATGGCCCCATAGATGAGGAATAACCACTTCCAAGACTGTAAAGGGCCAGTCTTGATGAGGCTAAAACAGTATGCTAGAAGGCCACCAACGATTTGTTGTGCTCCATTCATCATGTACCTGAATCAACGATGTCAGTATTTCACATGTATTATCCGATGCTGTAGACGAACCAATATGTAACACGGGCAACTTGTTCCTCCCGCCTGTACCACATCGAAGATAGGATAACAAATGCTGGCTGACAGACTGATTCAAAAAGGCCAAGTAAAGTGCGCACCACAATGAGCCCTGTAAAGTTCGTACAGGCTGCAGTGCAGGCTAGAACGGAACCCCATGCGATAATATTAAATCCAAGATACTTGGCAATTGGAACTCTAGAAAGTATGTAATTTTGAGGGTATTCAACAATGAGGATCGTTATGAAGACGCAAGTTGTCAGCCAGTTATACTATAGTCCAGTTAACTTAGTTAGGTTATTATTATGAAGATGGCCTGACTCGACTTACATCTTGCCGACTTAAATGTGTGTCATCCTTAATACCCATAATGGAAGCAAAAGACATTGTACCCTTATCAATGGCTTGCAAAAAATATGTTAATATCATGAGTACCAGAATACGCCGGTCGATTTTTCGGCGTAATTCGGCATTTTTTTCTTGGCTAATGGTGACTCGAGCATCTGCAATGTACTTAACAAGCTCTTTATCGACTTTCTCGTAGTTAGTATGGTCTTTCTCCATCGTGTTTGACAATGTTGCGCTGATACTCTTTTCGATTTGACTGATACTCGAAGTCGATTTTAGTGGCGCCATGTTGGAATGAGAGAGATCGATTCCCACTACTCACTGGTTCTGCGCCCAACAAGCCAGGTCAACGCGATTCTTTATTCAACTCCATCTAAGCCTACCAATTGACGCCAAGAATTTCCCCTCAGCATGTGATCAACACCGGGGTCGCAATGCAACCAGCTCATTGCCTGAGCCACGGCTCTGGAAATTAGGTCTGCTATTTGAGCGGATGAAGCTCTATTTGGAAATCTCGCTTCGATTTGCACCGAAGGACGAATTATACAAGCTTATGGGCAACCTATAGGTAACCTCCTATATAACCCACCAATGGGCGTACTGTCTGTCTCCATTAATTGCCGCCAGATGCCTGCTCCGCGAGACTAGTTTAATATAGAGTAAACCGTTATGCTTGTAATGCTGCGGGGCAATTTCCAGCCATCCGAGCCTAATACCCGCAATATCACTCTACTTGTGTTCATTGCTCGCTGCAAAATGAGCCGAACCGATGTTGGTTGCTTGACCTCCAGAAGCCGAGTCTCAACCACGGGTGATCTCCTCCGAGGCAGCTTACTGCTGCTACGCGCGTTAATTTCTCAATATTTTATATATATATTCTTTCAATATCTAGCTGTCGCTAGTTCTTAGCAGCCTAACTATACGCTTTTCAACTTTTCTACTTATCGTCGTATCATATTTGAACTTTCCTCTCACCCATTTCTTGCCTTTCCCCTTTGCCTGCATTGCTCCCTACTTAGATACAGCAAACGATGTCTTCCGAAACACTTGAGTTTGATGCAAATCAGATACATTCAAATATACAGCTTCTAATCCATGGTCTCGTTAATATTAAAGATGAGACTGGAGAGTTTCTTATGACTCTTGCAGATGGCCGAGTTATAGACACGAAAGGATGGAACGACTGGGAATGGACGCACGGCATTGGCCTGTACGGAATATGGCAATACTACCAAATTACAGGTCACGCGAAGTATCTGCAGATAATCGAGGATTGGTTCCAGAATCGATTTGCTTCAGGCGGCACGACGAAGAATATCAACACTATGGCAGCCTTCCTCACTTTAGCTTACGTTTATGAGAAGACAGGGAATACCACTTATTTTCCCTGGTTGGATAGCTGGGGGGAATGGGCCTATCGTGACTTAAAACGAACCAAATTTGGAGGCATGCAGCACATTACATATTTGGAAGAAAATGACCAACAGTTATGGGATGACACCCTTATGATGACTGTATTGCCGTTGGCCAAGATTGGAGTGGTTTTGGGTCGGGACCACTACGTGAAAGAAGCAAAGTATCAGTTTTTACTCCACCTTCAGTATCTGTTTGATACCAAGACGGGCCTCTTTTTCCATGGATGGACTTTCAATGACGGCGGCCATAATTTTGCGTCAGCAAGGTGGGCGCGCGGGAATAGCTGGCTCACTATTGCCATACCGGAGTTCCTCGAATTATTAGATTTAGCTTCTGATGATCCATTTCATATGTACTTAAAATCTACGTTAATTGCGCAATGCGAGGCTTTGAAGACTTTCCAAGCACCATCTGGGCTTTGGCGTACATTATTGGATCATTCGGAAGAAGAAGGGTCGTATGTAGAATCCAGTGCAACAGCTGGGTTCGCATTCGGCCTGCTAAAGGGGTATAGGAAGCGTTATATTCAGCCAGGATATCGTGAAATTGCATTCAAAGCTATACAAGGTCTTTTGGGGAATATTGACTCAGATGGGCAATTACTAAATACGTCTTTTGGAACGGGTATGGGACCTGACTTGGAATTTTACAAAAGGATTCCTATTACTCCCATGCCCTATGGCCAGGCAATGGCAATTCTGGCACTGGTTGAAGTTTTAAAAGTTTTTATATAGGAAATTAATACTCAAAGGGGCAAACCAAAAAAAAATTAATATAAAAGTCATTGCTGTATTATTTAACGTGTTAAAATACTTCTGTTTTCCTTTCATAGAGAGCCAAGCCAAAAGTGCAGACTGGTTAGAATAGGATATTTTTAGTAGTATAGAGAAGAGCAAAGTGTGTATTAGACGATCATTAGATAAACAGTAATGAAAGATGTTTTATCGGATCCTAATTACATTCCTTTACAAGTTTATCCTAGTCTCATCGTAACATCTTAGAAAAGTATCATGGTATCATCTTCGAATATGCTATATGTATCGAGACTTCTTATAAATAAAGTACAATATCCATTAATCAGTTCCGTAGAGATATTCTTTTCACACATGTTCCACATAATACATAAAAGTTGAATATATATATATATATTTATCGAAGAATAATTGCCACTCACGGTAGTAAGTATGGCATCTAATACTCATGAAGAAAATGAGTAGCTAAGGAAAATAGCATCTGAGCTAATCTTGATTTACAAGAATGATGGGTTGGCATTGGTAAGAAGCTGCACAAAGTATGCCTGGAACCAAGAACCTGCCTCAGGAGCCGGCTGCAAAGCATCTGATAAGCCGCAGTGGTAATCGTATCGTGTCGCAGAGGTATTGCTAGTTCCGTCACATTCACCACCTGGCTTGATCCAGGTGAACGCATCAAGCAACGAATCTCCGGTGTTTGCTGAAGGACGAATTCCAAATCCAGTACCGATCACATTGCACCAATCGCCCCACTGCTGCTGTCCAGTCGGTTGCTTGCCAGAACGGCCCTGGTCGGTAATGAAGAAAGCATTGCTCCAGCCTTGCTGAGTGAGAAGAGGTGAAAGAGCGTGAATATACAATTGCTCGTTGTAAACGGAGTTTCCTTGAGTGTACGAAGGCGCAGTAGTAATATTCCACCCATTGTAGTTGGCGACGTTAGTTGCTAATCCACGAACAGCGCGGGGTGATGATGCATTCTTATATACGCTGGCGAACAGTTGAGCTGCGGGTTGCTGGTTAGCGGGCCAGCCAAGCCATCCTGCGTGGCCGGCATCCAAGTACATGGCAACGTTCGGAAGATTCAGCTGCGTAATTGCATAGTTTATGCATTCCAAGTAGGCAGCCTGAGCGTTTGCACACTTTGCAACACTGAGATTAGTAACAAGATTGGCGAGTGAGTCAGGCTCTAACGGATGGCATTGTTAGCTCAAGATCTCAATATTGCACCTTTCTCTAAGGAGAGGGAAGGTCTTACCAATAACTAAAAGAATCCGAATATCAGAGTATGTCTTCACAATGCCGACAATGGTATCAATATAATTCTTGTAGTTTGCCACTCCGTTATCCGCGATGGAGTATTCTCCGTTGGACGCTGCAGCAGCGCAGTCACGATCGGGCAAGTCATACACAACAAATTGACCAGCGTAGTTGCCTCCGTTCTTGTTTGCAGTACGAATATCTGCCAATGTCGCGCTCATCTGAGGGGTTTTGCTAAGAGTATCCCTGCATCACGGGTCAGATTTCGCAAGATTATTAAGATCTCTAAAGCACTTACAGCCACATGAACGAAGGGACCTTTGCAGCGGCCGCTGCAGCAGTGGCCATGGCCCCAGTCAAGCTAGGAATTGCAGAACTGCTTACTTCTGCGGCATAAAAGTTATTGGCCCAAAGATTTATTCCAGAAAATGGATTACCCTGGTAAGTAGCGGTTCCTGATCCAACTGGAGGTGTTGACGTAGAAGAACTAGGTGGAGGAGTTGTAGTGCTTGACCTAATCGTCGTGGTTGTCGAGGGGGTGGTGGACGAAGCATGTGTAGATGAACTTGAGCTTCCGGTACCAGGAAGACACTGCGAGTAATAGGGGTTTGAGTAGACACATGTGCTACCAGAAGCGCAGCATGTTGCTCCGGACCATCCTTGGCCTCCGCATTGTCCGTAAAGGCTGTTACAAGCCTGTCTTTCTTCTACAACAGGCGCACAGGCTGCCAATGTGGCCAATGTGGCCAATGTTGCAAATACACGTCCCGCCATGTTGATATGGTCACAGGTTATGTTGGGCACTGCTTATGATTCGCGGGAATTAAACCAAAGTTGAAAGTTTCGGAAATCATTAGCATTTTATATTAATCGGTTTATACCTACTAGATTCATCATCCTGTCAAGGTAGTATTGGGGAAGACAGGATAAATTCTATAGAGCTTGCAAAGGGCCTGGAGTATAGCCTTCAATGGCGGCTAATAAATATTCGCCCCACTTCAATATACATTACCCATTAAATAAGGTGGTAGAATGCGCTGTTATTAGTATACTACGAATATAGTCTAGCATACTGCGTAATTCAGCCTCGTGTGACGGCTAATCAACTTGTTGTATTTTCTGCTGAACTCCGTATGATGTTCCATATCTAATAGCTTATTGTTAGATTACGGTGCCATGTGCAGTGCATCTATCCGTAGCGGCTAATAAATTAGGCCTCCGCTTTATAGCACGTCAACTTCCTTTTGCAGCAACCAAGAAGTGAGTGGTTGAGTGTAGAAAAATACTATGTAGTATTAGGCTTAAATAGTGGCTAATTTGTTAGTTGTCTGCCATGGGAAATAAAAATATATCAAAATGCATGGATATTTCGCCGAACACTAAAAAGCATAGATTATACAGGCTAAGTTTAATCATGGTTACGTATTTTCTCGAGATTTTTGAAACAAGCCGTCTGCAGATTTGTGTGTCTAGTGGCCAGAATGATTTTGAACAGTGCTTTATTCACAGTCAGCAAATAGCATAGTCTTCCCTGATAAAATTGAAATAGTATGTGTGGAATAAATGGTGCACGTTATAAAATATAACTAGAGGCAGGTAGACGTATATATTCTACAAACTGGTTTTCATAGAGGGTCTTAGCTACTGAGACAATATATGAACTTCTTCAGATACACATCATACAGCTTCTTGAATATTTCACTAAAAGTGCATATATCATCAGCATGGGTTAAGGTATTAACATCAGCTATAGGTACTAAAAAGAGTTTAAATGATGGGAATATCATAGGGTTAGAATATTCCTCTTTGTGAAAGTCAAATTTCTTTGAAGTAGATTATCCCGAAAGAAGCAATTCTAATTTCGCATATTATAGCTTAGTTAAAGAAGAAGAGGAAAGTAAGAAGAGTGTTATAGTTAGAGAGCAAGATACAGAGGGGGGAAACATAAGGGCTTGTGTTGAAACTAAGCAGATTTGCTGCTCAAGACGGTTCTGGTACCAGGTAGATACTCTGTACAAGCCATCAATACTAACATATTGCAGCTATGACTAAGTAGATGATAAACGAAAGCAATGATGGGACGAGTTGGATTCAAGCAAAAAGTAAGACATCAGTAGTACATTCAATTGGATTACTTACCATGCCTTGAATCGAAATCGTATTTCTATGTTATGTACCTATGGCGACGGGGAAGCTTACATTGGGCCACATAAAGTAAAAATAGATGGAAGGCAGACTGTAATATACTAATTTTAATCTTGGCGGGAAATGAAGAGATTACTTGATCAATGTAATATTTTATTCTCCTGTACTCTATACAGTACATCGCTTCTATTGCTTTAAACCGTTGGTCATAACACCAGCCCCGCCTCTCGCTTCTCGGCAAGCAGAGTTTCGTTCCCTGGGATGAAGCAGAAAGGCACGTGTACATAAGTATTACCCCGCGAAAAGTGGAAGCGATATACATCTTGAGCTGCCTAAATTGGTGCTGGTTCGATGCCATCTTGGTAGATCATAAATACTAGCCTCTGTCGTGAATGCTCATACTCGCTCACTATTGGACCGAGAAGTAAGTCATGTATAGAAATTTACCTTATATCATGCTAGAAAGTGTCGAAAAATGGTACTCCCAATTCCACAGATTACTGTCTGCTTTGTTTTTATTAGAATACAATGGTTTTGAAATCAGCATCCCTTGCTATCTCGGTTGACCCGTAGTCTGCATACGCGACACATAATTAACTATTGGCAATACCTTTTATAATTCCCAGCTCAAAGGTTTCAGATTTTCAGAGGTCATCTTACCCATCCCTCGAAATTATGCATACAATACCCATTCGGTCGGCACTGCTCGTGCTGTCGGTGATGCTCTTTGCAGAAGCCACGGATGGACCGGAACACTTCCCACGTTTCGACGCGACAAGCGAAGCTACCTCCTACCACACGAATGCTGGGAACCTCAAATACGTCAATCCACTCATTGGCACTCAAGGCGGTGACCCAAACGACAATGGCGGAATGATTCCATCGGTTGCTCCGCCGTTTGCCATGACGCGCTGGACGCCGCAGACTCGAGAAAACTACATCTCACAGCTGCCTTATTCGAATTGGGATGATCGAATTCATGGTTTCCAGGCGACCCATCAACCAGCGATCTGGATGGGCGAAAATGGGCATGTTACTCTTATGCCAGGACTCGGGGATGAGATTCATCCGCTGTTTCAGAAACGAGGACTTGCATTTAAGAAGAGTGATGAGAGCAGTACGCCGTATGTCTATCAAGTAACGCTGGATGCGACGTCAGCTGGTGAATTCGGATGGAATTTGACTGAGCAGGCAGCCGCTGAGCAATTTGGAGACCAATGCCCGCCTTGCCCAGGAGGGGCCGCGCCAGTACCAGATACCGTCAAAGATGGGGCAAACGGTCGCACGAGGAGAAGTTTGGACGATGGCGTTGGCGATGTATTGGGCAGATATTCACCGAAAATTGCTTCCAGCAATTCTGGCTCAACTAGTGGAAATCAGAGCTCGATCAAAGTATCGATGAGCGCATCTGCGCACGTGGGCCATTTGAAGATCGACTTCGACAACCAGAACAAGCAGCGACCATTTGTATTTATTCAAGCAAGTCGGCTCAACTGGACCGGTCACATCGACATTGATGAAGCCCGCCACGAAATATCTGGCAGCAATCCTCAAAGGCACGATTACAGTTTGGGTCCAGATCGCCCTAAATCATTCAACATGTTCTTCGTCTCACGATTCTCCGCATCTTTCGAGTCCTATGGAGTTACGCAGGGCGAAAAGGTCATGGAAGGAGAGACAACAATAAATGGCAAATTTGTTGGCGGCTATGTTAAATTTAATAAGTCTGTTCAACGCGTGGAAGTGCGAACAGGGGTATCTTATATTAGCGTTGATCAGGCTCGAAGAAATCTCGACATAGAGATTCCTGATGGCACATCATTTGATACCACTGTAGAAAACGCAAAGGCAGCTTGGCTGGAAAAATTAGGTCGTATTAGAGTGTCAGGTGTGAATAAGACAGACTCAGAGCACGACCAGCGGACCATATTTTATACCGCCCTATTCCACGCGCTACAATATCCTAGTGATTTCTCAGAGCCCACTACAAGCGCCAGTAGCGGGACACGCCGGTTCTATAGCGGCTACACGGATAGTGTCCATACAGAACAAGACTCGTACTATCAGTCTTGGTCCATTTGGGACACGTACAGGGCTGAACATTCTTTAATAGCTCTCCTTGTGCCGGAACGCGTTGACTCCATGATGCGTACGTTGTTACGTATATTCGATTGGACTGGGCGTCTACCACTATGGGCCAACCTAGTTGAAACAAACATAATGATCGCAACGAATGCAGACGTTATACTTGCAAACGCGCTTATTAGAGGTTTCCGAGGCTTTAATATTACAAACACTTGGAAAGCTGTTCAAAATGATGCATACAACCCTCCTGCAAACGATACAGAGCTTCTATACTATGACAGAGAACCATTTACTCCTCGCGAAGCGCGCGCAGGTCTTACAAGCTATCTCCGGCATGGATGGGTGGATAATGACGATTGGTCTGAAGCTGCAAGCCGAACACTGGATTACTCATTTAATGATTATGCTTGTGCTGTTGTAGCAGCGTACTCAGGCAATAACGAATCTTATAAAGAACTCATGGCGCGCTCGAAGAATTATGCAAAGTTGTGGAATTCAGAGACAGAATTCATGCAGACACGCAATACAAATGGCACATTCGCTTTAGACAGCTGGGGATGGACTGAAGGGGATAACTGGGTTTATACATTTGACGTAATGCATGACGTCGATGGCTTAGCAGCACTTTTTAAAGATGGAAAGAAGGGCATGAAGTCCAAACTCGATGCACATTTTGGCGGAGGTCACAATATGCAAAGTAATGAACCATCACATCATGTGCCATATCTATACTCCGCGATTGGGTATGCTTCTAGCACAGCAGAGAAAGTGCGCACTATTGCTTGGGAAAATTACAACGCTACAGCAAGTGGACTAAGTGGGAATGAAGATTTGGGCCAGATGAGCGCTTGGTATATATTCTCAGCACTGGGGTTTTATCCAGTGAATCCTGCAAGCGACGAGTATGTTGTAGGGACGCCATTTTTTGATGAAGTGGAAATAATGTTACCCAAGGGCCCCTTAGGAGGAGGACAGACCCTTGTGATATCTGCACCTGGAGCAGGGACAGAGAGTAAAAGTTATATCAAGACTCTAAAAGTAGACGGCAAGAGTATATATCAGCCTCTGCTTCGGCATAGCGAGATTGTGAAAGCCAGAAGGATTGAGTTTGAAATGAGTAGCCAGCCTACATCTTGGGGGTCACATACTTCTTGATAATGGACTAAATGAGGTATTTGACTTTGCAATTTACATTAGATATGGTGGTTTGGGTCAAAAGGCCGAAACAGCCAAATAAAATAGAATAAAAAATACTTTCTCTTCGCTTTTTAATCCGGCAAGCTCAAAAGATAAGAAAGTTTACGGATATAGGTTAGAATATTAATTGTTGCAAAATGGAAGGCAGTTCGTTGTCTATTTGAAAAGAAGATCTTGCATTTAACATAGGAGTAGTCTAGTAATAAGTGGACATAGTGCTGTCAATAATACTTTTGGAGTTTATTAGTAACTGCACTAAAGTAATATTTGCTAGCATCAATTATTGATACTAATATCTATTAGACTACCATCTCGGTACTTGAGTAAGACATGCTTTATTGACACAACCCGCAGGGCTTCGCCCCTTTTCCTAGTTTTTTTTTTTTAACTTAACTTTTCTAACTCCTCTCTCTCTCTCTTTTCCCCTGTTTATAAGTCCAGTAGAAATAGTATCAGGCCTGATTTTCCTCCTCATTTTTCCTCCTAAGCTCTCTCAGAGCCTTTGCTTAGTCTTTCATTCCATCATTTTTATCTTGCGTATGGATTGAGCTTAGCATGATCCACTGGTGACGAACGCAACAGCTATAGCAGCTACATTGATGACGACCATGATGACGACGCGTACGGAGTAATATACGTCTATACATGTACCTATATATTTCCACCTGTAAGCACATATTATAACTTTGAAATCCACTTTTTCCTTTTAGAATAGCAATATTTTCAAAAGACAGCTTAGTTTTTATAGTTAAAGATATACACGTATCTAGGATATTTAAGCACATCATATATCTGGGCGCTAAAGCTGACTAAGTGGCATAACTAACCCTTAATAAATATATGCGTGTATCGATCTACTCTTTACATTAGTGATGAGTTAATATTGCAGCTTGTGGCGTGGGATTCGCGACATTTACACTGTGGACTTCGGCATCTTTACAACATCTGGCGTGCATCTAAGAATCCCAATTTTTCTAACACAGAGGTAACTCTATGTTTCGTTTCGGTCCGATCCGGACAAAGATTCACATTATGTTAGATCAGCGCTTGGGGGCTTTGTGCCGACACCTTTTAGTAATGTTTTATTTATCCAGCTAAATTTATCATTCACCGAATGAATCGTATGGATTCAAGGTGTTAAATTCTCTTTTAGGATACCTCCGGGGCCAACCCCTATTTAGCGAGCTGCTGCTACAATAACGTATTTTGGGTACAGTAGCCGCAGCTTCGTTACAGTAGCTCCACTAAAGACTAGGATGTGCGACGCGCGGCCTTCGGGGCAATTAACTACGGAAGTACAGATATGAGTAAACTTCAAACTCTTTGTACCTGTGTGAATGATAGTGAGGCCTGTTATATTGAACGTTTATGTGTCGTAATAAGCATATCCCTGATAAGGTGGCTTCTATCATCAAACCATAAATCCGTAGTCAGTTTCTATATATGTGTTCCATCACTGTTGGATCCACTTTCAAAGAGTTTCAAGCTATAAAGTCAGATAATTTGGTTCTCTCATGCTCCAGTTGTTAGTTAAGCTTCTAGTCACCAACAGTTTAGGTACGCTTCAAGGCTGAACAGTTGATTACTGAACCAACGGTTGACCACTTTTAAAAAGGCGGCTGTCCCAGTTGCTACGCGATCAATTCTGATATAAGATCATTGGTTTCCATTTTCCCCCATCTTTGTATTTCCTCCTACGCAGATTGATGGGCAAAGAAATCGCATTGATATGTCGGTGTTTTCTAAAACATTGATCATGAGTACCCAGCCTCGATGGCTGAGGTCAAGATTGCGCGTTTTGCTTTCATCTGCCATTGTTCTTTTCGTAACGCTATGGCTATTAGCAGCTCTCAAGTCTGGTCCTGTGCAAATATCAGACGAGTCAGAGCTGCGTCGCAAATTTCCATATACATACAAACATATTCACAGTTTCAAAAAGGGTCTAGGAGGAGGTAATATTGACTCAGCCCACAATCCAATCGGCCACTTTTATACAGCAATTCTATTGATAATAACTATGCTAACAAGTAGTTTCCATTAGCATGGTATATTCCGCCAAATTGGATCCTCGCAAATCAATCAACCCCGAGGAACATAGTCGAAGCAGTTCAGTTAGCCTCGAAATCAGTCGTGTCTCATCCTGAACGTCATATTCCATTCTCAAATATTCCCCTCTTGATGCATCAAAAATGGGATACTACGCAGCTAACTGGCATAAACGAGATGGTTATTTCCTACATAGAGACATGGCTGAAAGATGCCGTCTCGCCCCCTCCAGGATCCAGTGAAATGGCATACTTTATCTGGGATAACGAAGGTGTATTGACACTAATGGAAGAATATGAGCATGATTTGGTGAGAGATTTTGTCGAGGTATTTTCACCTGTAGAGAAGGTGGACATTTTCCGCATTGCAGTTTGTAAATGGTTTGGAGGTATCGTAAGTCTCCGTTCTTTTTCATTTATACACCTACCTACTAACCAATTGATCAGTACGGCGATGTCGACACGAAAGCGCTTCAACACCCATCTCAGTGGGTTCACTCAACTGATATCTCGGAATGGACTGATGGAATGAGTGGAAAGAAATATGGCTTAGATGAGGCTACGCTGGCACTTCTACACCAAACCTCTGGACAATCTCCGCCAGTAAACGCAATTTGGGGGATTGAATGCGATACAGACCCGAATACAGATGCTCATTGGCGCATGGCGTATACTTATCCCGTTCAACTTACAAATTGGGCATTTGCATCTGCTGCCAACCATCCCATATTGCAGTATTTCTTGGATCGTCTACATGAGAAAGCTGCAGAAGCCAGGGACAGAGTTCTGGAAAATCCAGGCACTAGCTTATCCCAATTACATTACGATCCAGTAACGCGCACAGGCCCTGTAGCCGTTACAGAAGCTACTAAATGGCGGTTGGAAGAGCATGACGGCTTGAGATGGAACGCATTGACAGGCTTAAAAGACGGCGGAAAGACTAAGCTAGTGGGCGACGTCTTGATTCTTCCAATAACAGGATTCAGGTGTGTTTATCCCGTGATTAATTTTTACTTTCACTTTAAGTATTTTTTTTTTTAACTGACATAATATTGTGTTAGCCCAACACAAAAGAAATATAGTAGAATGGGGGAGAAATCCTGGGACGATCCTGACGCTAGACTTGCACATAAAGCTATGGGTTCATGGCATCACACGAATCTTATAGTTGAATATGGGAAATTTTGTCGTACTTTCTTTGGCCTATGTAAAGACTGGCAGAAGATGTGGTAATTGGATTATAAAATACAGCATATTATAGCCCTGGCGTTAGGATTGGTCGGTCAAAGTGTGTGAATAGGCTACTGAGGAATTACAAGAGCTTTGTTACATATGAGGTTGAAGACTCTCTGGTAACAATTAGCTCTATAGCCTAATATTGCAAAAACGATTAAATATTTACGTTTACTACCGTGTGTTTTTACGATTTGCTATCCGTGTGCCTTTACAAACGCCAATCATTTTGAAGGCTTGTTATTCTAATTTATGCCTGAGAGATCGCCCATTGAACTATGGCGTGTGTTGTACTGAGACTATGAGTCTTCTAGTGGGTAATTATGGGAATTGAAACCAACTGCACTGGCACTACTTTGACAAACACAGACGGATTCCGCCTTTCTCCAATCGAAGTAACATCATTATTAGACCGATGCTATACATTGTAATGCCTATCTTAGTCTATAGCTTTATGGAATACAGGGCTTAGTTTCTCATATTTACCCATTGTAGTGTTTTCGCCATATTGGTTGCCGTCCTTTGCTTTAATTTATATGGGACGTATTGGATCCATAGTTGCCGTTGAGCCTGATATATATTGCTTTACTAACTGAATTGTAAATTCCAAAGGGGTATTGCTTATAGAGCTGATGAAAGTTGTTTCTTTTGTGTTATTTTGGAATAGCCGTGCGCAAAGAACAACGTGGCATTAAGGTACTGCCCAATTTAGAAGACTACTCCTCTCTTCTCCTTACAGATATTTTGTATCCGATTGGTGGCGGGGAAACGTAGCTAAACCACTTCTTAAAATTAGCAATTCCCGTAATGTGATAGAAAGAAGGGTAAACGAAAGCACCTGCACAAAACAAGGAGGTATGGAGCGAACTAATGGGCCAACCCAAAATATGCTGACTCACCGGATTTTGCGGCCGAGGACTCTTGTCAGGCTTGATGTCATAACGGAGCGTAATCTGTGATAAAAGCAGCTTGAGGATATGATTCGCAAAGAATCGGCCGACGCTTTTAAAAGTTAGCTAAATGTCGTTCAAACGAATATCTTGATTTGTTACCAAGCATATTTTCCATGGCTAAAGGCCATGTAAGTGCCGCTGGTAGATGCAAATTTTGTCCCTGATTGCTGCGCTTCCGCTTTCTCATTTAAAAATCGGAAGGGATCAAATGTAAATGGCGACTCTCCCGAGTAAATTTCTTCATCATGATGTAAGCCATAGCTTCCAACTCCAACTTTTGCGCCATATGGGATGTGTTCCCCTGTGGGAAGATCGACACCTTCTTTTGCGACTACAACTTTGATCACTCCGTGAGAAAACCCCCACAGTCGAAGACTTTCAGTGAGGACACTATCAAGTTTTAACATTTTAGCGACTTGGACTCGGGTCCAGCGTACCGATGGTTCGGCACTATCAGCAATTAGGGCTTCTTCGCGTAGCTGATGTTGGATTTCGGCACTTTGTGGGGAGTGAGCGATATCGATCAGTGTATTTTCAAGTGTAATGCCCTGAACCTGAATGGCTGCCCAGTTGAGTACAGCTAAAAGTTTGGTGGTTTGGCTCTGCGAACGACGTGGATCATCGTTGCGGCGAAAACTCTCTTTCATGAGGCGAGAAAGGAGATCATTGGGCTGATCTGCATCTGGCTTTTCTTCCGCCATCTTGCCAAATTTTTCCGTCCGCTCTCGAATGACGGGGTTGACACAGCGGTCCATGCGCCTGAACTGGATCCAATCGTAGTGAGCCAGAAACGGGGCCAGGAGGGGCCGCAAAGGTTTAGGTGTTAATTGTGCGAGAAGTGCTTCGATCAAGATGAATTTGGCAAACTTGGTTGAGCTGGCGAGATATGTCGGCTCCCGGCAGAGTGGCAGTCCAACGAATATCCGACTGACTACGCGACTTACCAGCTCTAAAGAGACGTCAAAAAGATCAACTTGCTTCCAATTTTTGGTATCATTGCCCCATAAGTCGTCTAATGCCGCATGGATCTCATCAATTGCGTCCTCGGTCTGGTTGTTCAATTGACTAGTCATTGTCTTGATCAGGTTGACAACAAATTTCCATTCATTGTCGTCAGCGGCAACACAGTTCAAAAATGTGTGCTTCGCAGCAAGAAACTCGTTATTGCTCTCACGCTGACTGAGGACGTTCTCAGGCTGCTTGAGCAACCATTGAAGATGCTCTGATGGCAAAATAACATGATGTCCCGTGAAAATATCAGGAAGGATATAAGCCCGTCCTTTTTTTGAATGCTGTGGAAGCTGTCAGCTGTTATACGAGAGATAAGACAAAGTATCAAAAGTGCCGTTCTTACATCGCGGTACCCAGCCCAAAGGAGAGTGTTGACCTCAAAGACGGACCCTAAGGAAGATCGAGCTCGAGAAAAGAGAGACCCATCAGAGTTGGCAAATGCCAAACTCTTTGGGATACCTTGGTACGAGAAGATGCGATACCACAGGTAATACAGGCTGCCTAGAAGACCGACAGCGGCCAACCAAGGGAGGGAATCCAAAAATGTAGCCATCTTGCATTAAATGGCCTGTATAAGATATCTTTACTTTGAGTTTTGCAATTGTTGTTTGTTGAGCACAACTCTTTCAACACCGGGGAAGTGCATTGTATTCATAAAGCTGAAGTCTATAGCGGTTATAGTGGCCTGGATAAGCCGTTATCATAACCCCAGATGTTCTTCATATCCGAGCGTTCTATCCCACAATGTTCATGCTGGTCGGATCCAAAAGCGGCTCGAGTTCTGGCCTGCTGTTTAGTTTAGCGCGTTCACCCCACAGAGAGGACCACCATGTATAGTTTCAAAAGGTTGATGAGTGAAGAACTAGTAACAACAATAGTAGCGCAACGCCACCATGCGGCAGTAGCGCCGCGGCATCGAGTGGAGGAAAGTACGTTGGGAGCAGTATATTGCTGCCTAGCTTATCATATTAACAACCTATTTTAGGAATAAAGAGTGTCAGCTCTCAGTTAAACGGTTTTAAAATTGCGTGCTTTAATGGATAATGGTGGCAAAATACGAAACCGTGGCAACAAAATTGTATCATAGTGGCATATTGAAATGTGATCTCGAATGGGGCCTGACTATTATGTTATTCTTCTTTTGTAAGTTCAACTGCATCATCAATCACATTATGCTTCATGCTGAAGCATCTGTGGAGCCTCTTTATCTTTACATAGTACAGTTAACACAATTACAGTAAGCATATGCACACATAACCTTGTCCATTATACATGATGTTGTTGGGTCGAACAAAGATACCGTCTGTGAAAATCCACCACAATAGGCACATAGTGGCATAAGAGGCTAAACTTGCTAAATTTCTTATGCATAACGTTGATGCTCAATGTTTTTAGAGAAACATCATACAGGCATATATATACATCATGCGCTCGTGCGCAGCTACACTACTGGAGCGCTCTTGTAAGCAGTGTATTGTAATAATCGCGCAGCAACTCGCAGAACAGACCGCTACATTCTGCTATTGACACTTCGAGTCGTTATCAACCATTTTTAAATTGCGCTAGCTGGGAAAACCCATCCTTCTTTCAGATATAAAAGTTACATTGCGAAAAGGCTAAATACTTCAAACTGCTAATGTATCCCCTGCCGCAACTTGGATCCGACGACTCTTGTCAAGTTACCATTATCAAAGACATGCCATTGCCTCCCCCGGCAGTTAATAAGCTGGTTCATGATGTAATTAAAAGTCATGCTATCGCTCATCCAAGTGCTCCAGCGATCGCCTCAGCCTCTATCAATTTTACTTACCAAGGCCTTGATGAAGCCTCCTCATGGCTGGCTTCGCGAATCATATCTTTGGGAATTGGTTTTAACGGCATAGTACCAATCATCTGTGAGAAAGTACGATCCTCCCATAAAGATTACTTTCTCCCTCGGGCTTGAAGAGAGATTTTAATGCTCTTCATCTCGCTCTCATCTTCTATTGAGCCCCCCCCCCCCCCCCCCCCCCCCCCCCCCCGGCCGGTGCGGCGTGCGGCGTGCCGGGAGGAAAAACAAGAAACCATGTCGAACCCCCCTTCTCCCCCCCTTTTTTATTTTATTGTATATATATATATATTAAAAAAAAAGGGAAAACTCATTATGGACGTCTATTACAAGGAACAGTGCTTACCTTTTTATATAGTCGTCCATTGCTATTATCTCTATGATCGCTCTTTTGAAAGCGGGATGCGCTTTCACCGCATTGGACGTTTCCCATCCGACTAAAAGACTATTGGAGATCATCGAGGATGTCAAATCCCCTGTTCTTTTATTATCCACTGAGCAAATTCTACGGTTCAATGACCTTGCTGGATTTCGAATTATCGAATTATCCGATAAGATGTTTTCTGAGCTGACCACCGCCAGTGCATCGTGTGCTACACCCGTTAATGCGTCTCCAAGTGACCTGATGTATGCCATCTTCACATCGGGAAGCACAGGTCGCCCAAAGGGCGTTATGATTGAGCACAGAGCCTGGCTAACGGCCGCCCTCGCCTATGGCGAAGACCAGGAGCTTAATTTCAGCTCGAGAGTCTTGCAATTCGCCTCATATGCCTTTGACATGTCTCTAATGGAGATATTCACAACGCTCATCTTTGGCGGCTGCGTTTGTGTGCCAACAGAAGAAGACCGATTTAACAGGGTAGAAGAATTTGTTAACGAAATCGGTGTTAATACCTTAATGTTAACTCCATCTTACGCCAAATTATTGGATCCCATTGCAATGCCTACCGTCCGGATGTTGGTTACTGGTGGAGAGGCAGTTCCAAGTGACTTGATCGAGCTATGGAGCCCTCACGTCAAAATTTACATTGCTTATGGCCCGACAGAAGCTTCGATACAATCCTCGGGAGCAAGATTAGATATTGGAACTGTGGCGATTCCTTCAGGTCTGCTCGGGCATCCAACAGGCTGCAACCTGTGGATTGTCCGAGAGGATAATCACAACGAACTAGTTCCTGAGGGCCAGACTGGGGAACTAGTCATTGAAGGAAACACTTTGGCAAGAGGCTACCTGGGCGATGACCAGAAAACAGCCGCTGCTTTTGTCGATATGTCTACTGGCACGGGCATCCGGCGCGTGTTCAAAACAGGTGACTTGGTTCGACAGACCGACAGCGGCGATATCATATTTGTTGGTCGCAAAGACACCCAGGCTAAGGTGCACGGACAGCGCTTGGAGCTGGCTGAGATCGAGGCGAGGCTGGCCCCAGCTTTGGCTGCGGGGTCGAAGTGTTGTATTGAGAAAGTTCAAAGTCCCCACTTTGCCAATGGCGGTGCTATTATAGCCTTCCTAGGCGATATTATGCAAATATCAGGCGACACAAGCCCAGAGATCTGCTGGAATAGGGTGGAGACCACGTTAGAAATGTCTGTTAGCATGCAGGCGCATCTGGAAACGGTGCTACCCAAATCTATGATGCCACGTCTATACGTACCGATTACGTTCATTCCTCTAACAATGTCGCACAAGACAAATCGTTCGATGCTGCGAGAACTGATTCAGTCTTTGGCTTATGATGAGTTACAGAAACTCAGAAAGGCAGATAAGTCTCCAGCCATTTACAGTGATTTATCCGTTGGAGAGTTTGCTCTCAGGGAGTTATGGGCGGCTGTGCTCAATATGGAACCCGAGACTATTGGGCCGAATGACAATTTCATCCAACTTGGAGGCGATTCAATAACCAGCATAAAGCTGATAGCAGTAGCCCGTAGCCGCGGTATCACGCTAACATCGGCTACTATCCTCTCAAATCCCATCCTACGCGTGCAGGCTCAGCTTGCAATTACATCTAGCAAGAAAAACCCTGAACAGGACATCAAGCCATTTGGGCTACTGAGGAGTCGTTCAAAGGAGCTTCGGGAGACAGCCGCTACTCTCTGCAAGCTGCCAATGGACGATATAGAAGACATTCTACCTATGACGATTAGTCAGTTGAGATGGTACGGAAAAACTCTGGTTAAGCCAACTGCGTGGATTGATCAATACCACTTTCAGCTCCCCAGCAACGTAAATCTTGAGCGATTCATCTTAGCCCTCAATTCAATTGTGCAAGCTACAGACCTCTTACGCGCAAGAATAATCGCCTCTAGGAATAAAGAACTATTTCAAGCAATCATCAAATTTCACCCGGTCGACATAGCTAATACCAACGAAACTTTGGAAACCTACTTGAGTCAAGATCTCCTTAATCCTATGGGCCTCAGTGCACTGTTAAGCCGCTATGCTATTCTTCATCTTGGCAATTCCAAAAAGGTGTTTGTTTGGACAATCCATCATGCTATTTATGACGGGTACTCCTTACCAATGCTCCTTCAAGCTATTCAGGACTTATACTATGGGCTTGAGCTAGTCCCATTTACTCCATTCAACCAATATCTTAGAGACATTGGTGAGCAAGATCTGCTTGAGGGAGAGACTTTCTGGAAAAATTACCTATCAGATGCGGCGTGGACTAAATTCCCTGCGTTGACATCTGAAGCAAAGTCATCAACTATGGGACAAGTTTTGGCAAATTTAAAAATCGCTTCAAGGCAAGCACAGGTTTCACGATCTATAACTATCGCCAACGTCATACGTGTTGCGTATGGCGCAACGCTTTCGCAGTTTTCCACAGACCGCTTCAGCTCGGTTCTTTTCTTAGAATCACTTAGCGGCCGTAATTCAAGTTTCTCAGGCATCGATCGTGTCGCCGGGCCAACCCTGCTCACCATCCCCACTAAGCTAGATCTCCCACGCAAGAAACCATGTGGTGAAATTTTGCAAGAGGCTCAGATATCTTTGACGGGTCGTATGAAGTTTGAGAGTTTCCCTTTACCCCGACTACTACCCCTTGCGCCCCCTTTGGAACTTCGTAGTATCCTACTAATAGAAAATGAGACATTCCTAATCAATGAGGGTGGACGTGACTTATTTAACTGTGGAAAAGAAGAGATAAAACTGGAAGAAACCGAGGGCTTACCAATGATATTCCGTTGTGCAGCGATGCGGAATGAGATACATATCGATGTACGGCATGATAACAGTGTTATTAGTAGTAGTGATGTGGAAATTTTCTTGAAGACTTTTAAAGCGTTAGTCGAAGAGTTATGGCATGGGAGTGGAAGCCAGACTCTTGATACTATTCTTCTGTCTTCATAACAATAATGGATAATGCAAAGCAATGTTAACGCACAATTATGAGAACCACCTGGTGGTAGAGCTGCTACAAATCAATACTCTAATTGAACTATTCTAACGGACGAATGAAGTATTTATGGATAGAGGTCATTTTTGGTGTAATCGGGTTTATAATACAGACATGCAAAAAATATAAATAATATTATACTTAACGTATCTGGTGAACAAGTATTATAATACAGTGGACAACTGCTGTAATTTAGTGGATAAGCGCTGTATTATAGCGACTTGGACAAGCCCCTGCTTTTTAGATGCTAGGTAATTATGTACGTCTATCTAGGTACTTGAATACCTCATAAGCCATCTCAGGATATAATGGAAGTAGAAGCTTTCCAACATTATTTCGTTTCTCAGAGGTTTTACAGACTCCTTTATTCATCCTGTTTACCTTTATTTACCCTGTTTACCTTCATTCATCCCGTTTACCACTGTTTGACGGACCGGGGATGTTTTCAAGAGATCGTTGCATGATAAGGTATACCATAGAGATACACTGTACTGTCAACCGAATGGATTTTCGGATTGTTTTCAAGGCTCGGACAAGATTTCAGCAATCTGTGTAAGAGCTACTAATAGTGCTGGCTACTTGGTGTAATTATTCTCACTTATTGGTTGCAATTTGGAATTCATATCAAAATTTGCAAATTTTCAGACATGGCGTGCAACACCATTTTTACAAAGAATAAGGACAAATATTAACAGGATCTTTTAGAAGAAAGTTGTAATCATGTTTCCAATACAACCTTCCCCTTTTCCTTCGGAAGGGTAAGAGAAGACAGAAAGAAAGCATAAATAAATAAATGTACAACAAAGATTGGGGGGGAAAGAAAGACTAACAGATTTAAGCCTCTTCAGTGTGCCTCATTGCTAATCGCAGTCCAGATGTCTCTCTCAGTACGTTTACTGCGGTGCTAAGAGCAACTGGTTGCGTCACTGGTACAGATCTCGAGACCTTTTGGAAAGCCTCCTTCTCTATCTTCTTCGCCTCATTTGCAATTTCCGCTTGTTTCCTTGCAGCTTCGATCTTTGCGGCTTCCTCTTCACTCGTGCCTTCACTCTGTGCTCCGATATCCTCTTTTACTTCGTTGTCCCATCTTAACCCTTGTCGTCGTCGTATTTCTTTCTGAATGTTCTCTGTTACATCGGAGACGCTAAGTTGTGCAGTGTATAAAGGATTTCCATTTTCACCTGGCGCAGGGAGCAGTGCGCCAGGCTTAAATAGAGGAATCTGGCGACATGCTGCTATTAGATTGCAATGGAATTTATTGCTTCGCATTGATCGCAGCTTCTCATTGGACCAGTTATTGCGATGGGTAAATACGATCCGTACTTCCATCTTATTTAATTCGTGGAGAGATGTGACGTTGAATGCCAGGCTGCCAGGTACATAATCGCGGCTATTGTCGCTGACAAAGGTTTCGAGCATGGCTTGTAGCTTATTAAGGTCTTTGAAGCTGGTGCGAAAATCGAGAAACATGGTGATGCTCTGTTTATTAATTTCCGATCTTGTGAAGTTTTCAATGGATTTTCTAAATAGTTCTTCATTAGATATTTGGAGGTCTGAGTTGCTGTCGAACCGACGGAAAACTGTATAGGTCAGAGACTGGCGCTTGACAGTGCAGACTATCCCGTCTTTCAGATTGGGCGTGCAGAGCTTCACAACATCACCCGAGTCGAAAGGATGATCAAAAAATATAAAAATTATGCCTGTCAATAGGTGATTTATGGTACGTCCAATGGCAAACGAGAGGCCAATGGCGAGAGAAGACAGCACGCTTTGGATTTCTTTGATCGCGGGAACGTATAGAAGCACTACAACCTTATTAGCTAGGTTTGCATTCCAAGGGGATGAACTTACTGATAAAGAAGATCATGACAACTGCGATGATAAGTAGAAAGAGCCAGTCTAGCGTATTGATGCAGTGATCCATATCGGCAATCGTCTTGAATATGTTGTGCTTCTTTTGACCAGCCTCAGATACCATTCCCACAAAATCATCTAGTGGAATATAGCCGCTATCGTTTGCATCAATTGCCTTGAACAGAGATTTTGCCTCTGTCACGCGGCTCGGCCCTAGCACGTCGACAACATCGTTCTCTGCTAAGCCATATTTACCTCTTGGGACAAGGGACAGCCAAATGCGCCTCGCCAGTGCCGCTGCTGCCGTAGGATTAGCCCAAGCGCGTTCTACCGTTGCGTAAGATGAGCCAGGACGCAGCCAGTGAGAATCTGAGTCGTCCGAGGTCAGGTCGCCAAAAAGCGATACGAACTTATACCCATCAAGACCAAGACGGGCAAGATAGCTCGATAAGCGCATGCGACCTGAGGGCTTCATATCACCTTTTGCATTCCGTATGATGGCATCTTCTTCTGCAAAAGTGTGGTCGCCGACTTTATGGAGGTACACTGAAGCTTCATATAGAATAATAAGCGATTGTTGGATGTCTTTGGTCCGTTCTAGAGTTGTGCTAGTGCGTCGATAATGGTAGTGGATCGCAATATATGAAATAGCCAGCTTTTCGATGAGGTAGAAAGCCATCCAAAGTGTAAGTTGTTGAAGAACATCACTAATAACATTATTCCAATCCGACCAAGCATCAGGATCCGTGTCAATAAGTAATAAGGGATTGTCTTGGATAGCCTAAAAGAAGATGTGAGACACTGGTTACACGTTTGTGTCAAGAATCATGTCCATACTGCGCTGAAGAAGATAAAGGCAGCAATTGTTGTGCCAAGGAAGCAAATAGGTCTGCGCATAAACTTAAAGACGCGCCAGTACCGCTGATGAGCAGAGTTGACGTATCTGCAAGGAGTTGACTTAGCTACGTGGGCTAGCACGGAGTAGCACATGGGTGTACCTACCTAGCAATAAACCGGAAGATATATGGTAGAGCAAGACCGATGATATCAAAGAAAGCTGCAAAAACCCACGTAATCTCCAGCCATAGAGCTATGTAGAAACCCAGGTTGACACGCTGGGCGGCGATAATAGCTTCAATTGGTGCGTCATCATCGAGGTCGCCATCGGAAGAGAGTAAAATGATGGGAATAAGCAATATAACGAAGATGAATGTGAACACTGTAGCGTACCGGACAGCCCACCAAAACAGCCGCCTTCGATGAGACTTGACTACAGCTGGTGGAAGTGGTAGCAGTGGCTGATGGCTCCATTCAGAGGTACCAGAGTACGTCGCATTGTACTGTTGACCCCCAGCTAACGTTGAAGCGGATTGGTCTCCCTCATGGGATATAAAATCAATACTAGACGTCGTTGTTTGCTCTGGCTTCCGTGGAACATATCCATAATTGGTGTCCATGGCCTCTTTTGGGGAATGAGTGTCGGAAGCAGCCGTCCAGTATTTAGGTTGGTCCGCCAGGATGGTGGCGCCAAGTCTGTGTAAGAGCTCTAATAAATAGAGACGGGAGCTTTTACGATGTAGGTATTCTGAATCATGGCCGTCAGCAGCTTAAATTTATAACAATACACCGACAAACCCAGCACCCCTTAATATCCAATATTAATACCATAGCTGATCACCACAGTCTCAACTTTTTGAGGTTTCTAAAATCCAGTCTAAGCGGCAATGTAGAGCCCTATGGCTTATGCTTACCTCTGATTCCAACTAAACTAACAAGGCTTAAATCTGACACGATGCGCTAGTGCCTGTGGCCACAGCAAAGTAAGCATAGCAAAGAGCTTCATTTGCATTATAAAGGGGACGCCGTAGGCCTAGAAACAGAACAACTAGATCATATTAAAATAGATAGTATTATGAATGTTGTTCCCCTTTAAGTGCTAAAACTCATTGACTGTTAAGATTTGTTATAGTTTAATAACTAGATTATGCCTAGCCTCGTGCCGTCCCGTCTTTTATGTTGGCCCGCTGTTTGAGCTACTGCTCCTATGAACATCAGTTAAAAATCTAAGTAGTACCTAATAGTAAGGGATGTAGTAGCTTCAATCGTAGCTGAGATATTGACGTGAAGCGACTCTTAAACTCTACTTACATATACAAGGTTACATATTCTTTGCAAGATTCAGCTCACTCGCATAACTCACTGCTACTTCGCCGACCAGCACTACCAACACTTGGTATAACGGTATTTAGGTAATAATTTTATTTACGTAGCACAAAAGATGAGAAGACAGCCTGAGGTGCTGAGTTCAAAGAGAATAAGGATGAGCTCCTCCTAATAGAGAGCATATAAGGCTGTGTATCATGACATATCTCAAGTGTGTCGAGACTCTCAATTTCAAGAAGGGCATATACAGCATTATTAGCGTCAATAACTTCCTTTCAGCAGCAGCAGGTAGGTTAGTAAAAGCATGAATATTTGCAGTTCAATCAGACTAGCGTAAAAACTACGACCGGCTGCATTCAGTCACAGCGTAGTGGTGCGAAGCTAGAGGGAAAGAATCCACATACCTATGAGTCCTCCTAACTCTAAAATATAATATTTGAAATATGCGATCATACGACATGAGAGACTGACACACATTATCTAAATGGGAAGGCCGTTTTATTTCTTTTAGAGTATTGCTATTCGGGCAGTAGATTTTTGCTATTCGGGCAGTACGCCCACCTTACCAAGCCTAATTAGGCCTAGGTTTATGCAACCCATCTTTTCACACCAAATTACAGTGTAAAGTCCTGGCAGCCAAAACTGTATACAAAGACCAGACAGTAGTTATTAGGTACTATAGCTAGAAATGCAAAATGAAGCTATCGCAACCGTGTTTTCTAGGGCTCTATTTGCGTTGCCGGGATAACTTCCTCAANCGACCGCCCGGTTGACTAGAGGTCGGCAGGGAGGGCGTTGTAATCGGCTGCAAGTTGCGATCAACGAAAACTCTGCTATTCTGAGGCAATCTCGGCCGGCCTCGTAGATTCTCAACGACATCTGGGTCTCGGATTCAAAGTAGCGGCTCATTTAGGTCCTAGAACGCCGGGTTAATAGACTTTACATAGAAAATTACAAGGAGAAATACCAAGGGCTTGTCTAGCCACCAGCGCAGGTGGATAACTTCCTTCATCAACGGCGCTCCTTCTAAAATTACCTTCTCAGCAATATAATAAACGCAAGGCATTGCATATTATTATATAAAGTGGCATAAAGTTGCACACGGCAGCAGCGTTTTATTTCCCTTTACAGCAGCCTCAGCGTAGCAATACTGCCGAGCAAGAAGATTAACGGCAGCGTAGCTAATTTACATTAAAAGCAATCCCAGCCAGGTCCGGCTGATGTAGTCCTGCCGCAGCTTAACCTCTTGCCTCGCGGCCGTTTAAAAATAATCTCACTCTTTTTTCACAATCATTTGCACAAAGGCTTTATAAAGGTAAAGGAGATCGCCTGTGCCAGTCAGAAGATACATTTTAACATCCTTATAGGCCATTTCTGTAGGACTATTTATTCTTTAACTGAAATTTTAATAGCGTTTAATGCAGCACTATAGAAATTAATCAGCAACAGGGAGATACTTGCTAACAAAATAGTCAACAATGGCCTTTTAGCAGTTGCCGTAGGCAAGGAGGAGCTGTACCCAAGCTGCCTCAAAGTTATCTTCTTCCTCAGCATATACAACCTTATTCCAAGCCTTTTTAAGGTATTCCTTGCTGTAATCTTCTTCTTCCTTATTGCTAGAATCTGCAGTAGCCTCTAAGGCAGTCTCTATAGCCTCTAGGGCAGCAAGTTCATCAGCATTAGGGTCAAATGCCTCATCAAAGTCATCATTCTTCTAACATAAGGTTATTTTGGCGTAGATATTTGCATTAATGTAATAAAGGCAGACTTACTGCTGTACGTCTGGAAACACACATTTTAATGCGTTTTTCAGTGCCTTTTCCTTGTTAATTATAACAACAGAGGGCGGAGGGACCTGAAGTTACTGCCAGAAGTCATCTAAACAGTCACATAACCAATCATAGCCTTCCTAACGCTCTATTTTAATTAACCTAAAGGCAAAGTTTACAATAAAGTTCTAATCCATAATACCAGTAACCTAAAAAAGGTATATTTTAAACCTATTTATCTTGTATATATTATCTAGGCCGAGAACTTCCGGAAAACACTTCTACATCGCTTTACACTAAAGGTAAATCCAGAAGACTGCCTTAACCTTATAATCTTTATTATAGCTAATAAAATAACAAAGGTTGTGCTATTGCAGGAGATTAACCCACTGCTGCATTAGGGTAAGGCCGCCGAGCTTCAATTTCCGGATCGTCTAACGGTCATTATAAATATCTTTAGATTAAAAATAGAAAGCGCCTTTAGTCTACGACCTTATAATCTCTCCCATCTCACAGGCAGGGAGGGCCTTATGCTCTAACAGCAACTTCTCAATCTTTTATTGCTTTTCTATACAGCGGCGATAGATACTATATGCCAATAGATTAAGGGAAGCTTTATAATTATAGCGGCCTTCTAGGACATAAAAAGTCCACTTCTAGTTGGCTTTCTTTAAGGCAGAAGCTGTAATTTTAAACAGGCAGTTAACTTTACTTATCGTTGCCTTTCTAATGCCTGAACTTTAAGAGGCTTGGCAAGCGCTGCAGTTATATAATATTAAATAAAAAGTTAGGATGACTGTGCCATTGACGTTAACTTTATTGCTAGGCGACTTCTTAATAATTGCAGCGCCATGATCACAATAATAGCTCTACAATAAGTTAAAGAGCTTATCAAAGGAGTTATATTGTTGTACCGGCGGCAGTAAAGGGATCTCTTAAGCTAGGGCTTTTATAAGACTTGCAGCAGCTTCAACTTCATCTTTAACTTTATCTTTAATGCTTAAGATAGCTTTATTTATGGCATTTTCCTCATAAACTTTATCCTTAGGGGCATCAGCAGGCTGAGGGCTATCTTTAACGTCATATAGCCAGGCAGAATTATTATTAAGGCCGTTAAAGAAGTCTTTAAAGGATAGTGCCCGTTCCATTATGATCTTAATAGGAATTTAAAGTCGCAATATCATAATATAAAGTTACAATGTTTATTTACAACTAATTTTATATATCTTAGTGTACTACACTGTATTTTGGTGGGCTGGCCTGGGCCCTACTGAACCTAGCTAAAAACGGCCTAGTCGGGTTGGAATACTGCCCGAATAGCAAAAATCTACTGCCCGAATAGCAATACTCTTCTTTTAAGGCATTATTTTCAACAAGAGCTGTACACTTCAACAGTCGCACTCGCTACTGCTATCTTTGCATGTCTAAGTACCCATTCCGTCTTCATTAGAGATTATTGTATTGTGGCATCTCACTTACAAAGCTACGATTGTGAAATACGAATGAGTGGCAAACTGTAGGCTATACAAATGCCCAGTGGTAGCGCCCCTGCCTCGCGAAATTCAACCGCATTGGACTTAGTTATTATGGAGTACATAAAGCGTGCTGGGATATTTGCTCGATTTACAAAATTTGGCGCCGCTGTCTTTGTGGAACTTTCTGTCTTTGTGGAACTTTTAATATATAGACTGAATTTTAGCATTTAATTCTAGGCTGAAGGCATGCCTAAACCCGCATGTGGCTGAAATTATCTGCATTTTATGTTGCGTAATTATAATTCTCAAAATATTTTATTTCACCTTGGTTAGTTACAGGTTTTATGCAATTTTTTGAGAGCTATAGGGTAAATTGGAAGCCAGACTGTATCTGAGTTTAAGAGTAGCTGCTTGTATCTTTGCGCAATGGTCAAGACATTAAATTTTATTTGCTTCCTGCTTTAGTAACTTAACAAGTGTAAGGCAATGGAAATATTTAATTATTCAACATAGCCTCCAGCTTCAATTTCCGTTTGTTTTATAATTGATGGTTTGATGGTACTCAGTTTCAGGAATTAGGAATATTAGAGTGGCATAAATTCTGAAAACTATTTATCCCTGAATTTGCGAAATACGTTAGAGCGAAAGTTGTTAATAAAAAGTCTTGAGTAGCTACCGGTTATTTATTTAACGTATGTTTAAAAACTAAAAACTAGCGCAGTAAGGTTACACCTACGGCTTTCAAAGCCTCGAGTAATCAGATGCAAGCGATATCGGATGATCAAAAATGCATATATATGTGTGCTTACGTCCACATATATCTAGTTGTTACATGGTCATTATCCATTACCAATAAAACTCAAGTTTATTATGGCGAATATTTCCGCATCGATCCCTCGAAATATAATGGCTGCTAGCAGCATTTGTTTTGCATCAGCAGCATATCTGGCTGATTGGAGCCATACGCATGTCCTGAACCCACGCTGGCCACCTCACGCGAAATTTCATAACGGCCAAACAATGTCTGTCGGGGCTATGAACGCAGCATTAGTCGTATATCTGCTCAACAGACGAACAAAAAACTCTGAAATGGAGAGATTGTTGGTATTTGTGGCGGCACTTTCCGGCTCTATAACAGCTTTTGCCGGCTTGTCTGCAATTTTCTATCCAGGGACAGCATGGACAGATCCAGAGTTTGATACGGGAGCTTTGATACCACCACAAGCTTACGTTTTCATCGGACACTTGATGATCACTTGGTTAGGATATGTACTGGAAATCTCAAGGCTAAATAAGAGACAAGAAAAGATATGAAGTCGCCATATGTGTGGAATTAAGGGCCTGTATAATCATTTAGAGTTATTTCCAGCTCGCAATATATCCACGATTTCCACATCTTCTTCTTACATCTTACACATACCTAAGTGATGACAATGTTTTTTTTATATTGTTTTAGAGAGTTGATTCGCATATTTTACCAGTACCCCCACAAGTAAATTTATACCTACTAGGTGTTTGTTACCGCCAAACTTATATCTTCTCAGAAATGAGACAGCAGTTTAAAAAATATGGTCTGAGTTTCATAGGCCGATCATGGAATGAATACGTAATACTCAAATAGCGAATAACAGCCGAAATCGGCGCTCTGGCACGCGAAGCTACTTGACCAGGTGAGTTTGACCGCCTATCAAGCCGCGGTGGATGCTTCTTGATACATCTTTTATTACTCTACGTTAATCTTGTCTTCAGTCTTTACGGATATTGCGCCTATCCATAAATGGAAACAATCTGAGAGCCGCGCGCGAGAGTTAATCAAGCGATTCCGAATTCAGCACATAGACGAGTAGACTTTACCATAAGTAGACTAATGCATCGGCAAATACCCGATACTTAGCAACTGGGGGTTAATACCAATGCTATGATGTATTTTTGAACATTTAGGGATGTGGGAGCGGCAACCCGGAAATAAAAATTTGTTTCCATTATCTTTAAGCACAATACTTGTACACCTAAATCATGTGGGGAAATAATTCTCCTTTAGAATAATACTACATGGATTCTTTTTAAGATTGTACAATATACCTATATACAGGTGAAGATCCTAGCTTAGTACTTCTAACTACCCCTCTTTGATTGTCCACTCTGGTACGCTTCAGTCGCGTAGCTTTTCAGCAATGGTTGGTGTTGCAGGGCGTAGCAAAGCTTGCACTACATGCAAAATTCGTCATGTACGATGCGGTATGTCAAAATCGCCTGCCTAAGCTTTTATTAGCTAGTATTAACCGTAAGACGGCTCTTATTAGATGCACGTCACCCAACCTGTCAACGCTGTGAAGCCGGTGCATTTACGTGCCTAGGCTATGAACGACCGATGGTATTTATCGACCAGACGAACCAGATTAGAGAAATGGTGACGAAGCTACAAAGTAACGTTATAGGGCTGCAGTTAAGTATCTCTCAAACATCTGAGCTTGATAGAGTGCGACTACCACCTTCGGCATCAATTTATCACTTCCACTTCCAATCCCATGCTATTGGCTGTGGTGACTCATTTAGGCGTCAAGCATCCATGTATGACGAAATACGAGCATTTATGGACAGAGTTTTAATGAGACAAGACACTAAGTTTTCTTGTGGATTGCAACACGAAGATCCTGTGGCCCTGGCAGTGGCTCCAATGCTTGGCACAACTGTTGAATCGGTTGCACTCTATATGTACGGAAAATATACTCAAAACATAACTAAAGTCTACCAAGCCTTTAAGTTACATGGACAAACCTTGGATCAGTTGAGAGCTGTGATCTCTCGCCATTACCAAACAAATCACCAATCAATAACAGCTAGCGCGCCGCTATTGGTCATTATCATGAATATGGTGCTATATGAGGTATGCTTCGTCACCAGTACTACAAAACCATTTTCATCTTGCATCTCATAGTGATAGCCTTTTCACGGATACTAATATAGATCGAATGCAGTTTATGGCCCCTACAACCAAGAGCGCTTGGAAAGATCATGTACGTGGTCTGGAAGCACTGATCAACAAGTATGGTCCTGCTATGTTCCATCAGGAGCCTATGAGACGAGCTTTTGAACAGGCAAGAATGCATATTGTATGTTATGACTTGTTTTTATCTTCGTGGCTTTTAGAGTGGTTGAATATACGCTTATATATGAGTTAAAGGTCGTTGCCCATCTAGACGATGTACAACGGACGATTTTAGAACAACCACTTTGGCAAGAGGTTCCATGGCGTGATCAAGCGGAACCTAAATCGATTATAAATTACTATATCGATATTCTTTGTTGCATTCCGGGTCTGCTGGAAAACAAAAATCGACTTTTCAAAGGCTTGTCTGTCGAGCCAAAAACCCTCCGATCTTCAATATCACGACAAACCTTGCGGCTTTATGTAAAGCTACTTCAAGTGCGATGGCTGTGGGAGGTATCCAACCCTTCTTGTTGCCATGAGATACCAGCAGGTAGAAAAAGTCCAGCTGCGTCGTTACTTGTTGAGGAATCATTAGAGCAACCCTTATTCGAGTCGCTTCTGGTCTTTAACTCATTGCAGAGAGCTATTGAGACTAATCTTTATAACTGCTGTATGCTATTTCTTTGCGACATAGCAACTCAACTGGAGACTTTGGGTGACTTAAAACGGTTGCCAATGTCTCAGATTTTTGATTCGTCATGCAGCTTCTCAAACCTTCATGGATTTTTCGACGGTGAGACTGAAAGCGCAAAAACAACAGAGCTCTATACTGGCGTCACGCAATCGCCATATGCACATAAGACTAACCCGGCATTGGCATTTCCAAATGAATTATCAACATGGAACCTAGCGGCATATGAGATATGTCGAAGCATTGAATTTATGATGCAGCCGAATCATGGACCTGCAGGAGCTTATTTTGCTATATTCCCTCTTCGAGTTGCTCAAATATCTATCGACGCATGGTCGAAAGCTGAGTCTAGACCTAAACTCAGTACTTTTTTACGAGGCAAGTTGGATAGAACCCATACCAAGATCTCCATTAACGCTATATTAGGGCAATTTACAGGTACCATTAATGCTCCAGGACCAATACCAAATAAACCGGAACAGAAGTTGGATGCTACTTCTTCCTCAGCCTTCCGCCGTGCTCAAGGTTCTAACGACGACAATTGTAGAAAAGATGATAATATTAATGAAAAGAATCATTGTATTCTAGTGTTACAATGGGCACGATGTGTTATGAGATGTATAGCAGACGAATATGGATTCAGCGTGACTCGCAACTTCAACTGATGAGAAGTGCGCGGAGGTTGAGAATACGGCTTTTCTGATCTAATTCCGGCGATGCACAATTTAATTTTTACAATCACTATTAGATGCAAAGATCACTTTATGTATCGTTTCGTTATACCATTGCGTCAGCAGGGCAAAATATTGGGTTAATAATCGCAGTTGTAGCAATTATTGTCATGGAACTGGCAGCTTATAAGGGATTTCACCGTTACAAGGGACCAGGTTGTAACAACTACATTATAGCGGTGTTGCCTACTATAGTGTAGCAGAAAGCATGATATATTATAATGGCCAGTGCGCTATGTTACAGTTACAAATAGCTTTGATACCTGTAGATACATGACTTGTGGACCTTGAATTTGATTTTCAACGTGCATCTATTCGTTACACCCTCTTCAATACTTTTCACCCTGTCCAATGAGATGTAATGGCAAATACTTGGACGAGCTATACTGTATAAGAGCTATATGCCAATATATATATTCTAACCTAGTAAATATGAACAATGTGATATACAGAGCTGCTACTTATTTTTTTTAAAACAAATTATATATTTTGAGATTTGAATTCAGATATACACTATAATGTTAACCTTTATATTCTATTTACTCTCAATTCAGCTTAGAAGCTTATTGTCACTATTAGCATTGCAACGGGATAAGCAAAGTGTAGAAACCAAAATCACCCTCCTGCCAGGCAGGCACTCGTCTTCCAAGCGAATTGTATATAACAGCTCAATACTGGTATAAGAAATTGAACGCTGCTTTTGTTAAGCTTAGCTGCTCAGAACCACGCTGTATTGGCCATCAGCATCGTTGGAACTGCTGACGAGTATACCAGGCTGAGCTCCGCAGACCTTGTTGAGCCCGGCGCTGTCACAAACGTTTCCTTGGGAGCTTGTTGTAACAACAGTACCCAACTGAGCCTGGGGCTGAAATTGGACAAAGCCAATTTTGCCCTGGGGGATCAGAAGACCTTCGGATGTACCATGCGTAGTAGCGATAGAAACGCTGAATCCAAAGCCAAAATTTGCATTTCCACTGGCACCATCCTTGCCTGTGTCACCGATGGTGGCTCCAAAAGTGATGCTTTCGGATATGGTGTCGGTTACAGTCACCGAATCGGTGAATGTGACTGGGCATGGCCCACCAGAATTCCGGCAGTCAATCATTGATGATCCTGACGCTTTAACCCCATTTCCTAAGCCCTGCTCGCAATTGACGCAAAGGGCCCTCAGCTGACCAGAATCAGCCAGAGATTGACAAGTGTTAGAATCCAGAACGCAGCTGTCGGGCGGGCTGAATGTTTGACTTTGCCGCTTCTGGATTGGGGTTTTATGCAATTCCAAGGATGTCTCGTTGTGATACATAACAGGGACTCGTCGGCCGGTAGAACTGAGGAGATAATCGCCCTTCTCGTCGGTATAGACTATGCCTAGGCTTCTGGTATCTTTCTTCTCAATATCAACAGTTCTTTTAAAGCCTTCATTGGCAGCGAACACTGTCTTGGGCATGATTGAGGGCGGGTAGGAGCGCCTCTTAGTTACTCCAGGACAATCTTTTCCCGTGTTGCAAAATCCCCACCAAATTCGATTTGAAAGATTTGGCAAATCATAACATCCATTTTGGTGTTCTAGAGCAATGAGCTCTTCACCACAAGTTGTACCATCGGGTGGACCTTGGGATATAGTAACCGACACTGTAGCCGGCATCCCTTGAATCTATTTCACGGACATGAGCATTATAAAACATCAAATATCACGAAGAATTAGAGTCTGATGACAATTGTCCTAAGCAGCTCTGATAAGGCGATATTCGTACCTCGTATCCTCCAGAAGGATTGGAATTTGGAAATGCGCCGTCGTTGAAAAAGCATACACCGGTCCCCGCTGACCCAGGCGAAACGAGCGTCACAAGGCCATTTCCAGAGGAACAACCTTGAGGGTGATAGACAATCGATGCCATGATTATTATATTCGATGCTGAAACACTGTTAGAGAACATGCGGCTTGACACACTCTTGTTACTAACCGGTATTGTAACCCTGACTATAAACTTTGTATAACAAAAGTCCTAGAAGACTATATGTGTTGTGTGAATGAGATACTAATACTGGTGCTGAATGTACTGTTTCCTTTTTGCATTTTGAAAGGAAAGGAGTCCTCTATATATACAATTGCATGGAAGAAGATATTGTACCAAGACGCGTTTCTACGAAAGCGACCTCAAAGTTTCATTGCGTTATTTTTGCTTAGACAACTATAGTTTCAAGTCGAAGAGTTTCCAAAATAATAATAATAGTAATAATATCTCGTAGCAAATGAAGCCTTACACTAAAAGCACTGTCAGATTGCATCATGAAAGAGATGCGGCCGCTCAAAATTGGAGCAAAGTCTGACATTGCGACGATCATTGACAGGAGTATTATATACTGAAATGGAATATTAACGTAGATCATGCCCTCAACTATGACTCTATAACAAACAAACTGCATTTGATATGTCAACAACTCAGTCAGATTGCGTCATTAAATAATAATTTAGTGAAAAGCACGGATAAAACGCTGTTTCACTGTATACTGATCTACATTAGTAGTATCGTACGTCTCATTCAGCTAGTAGATGTCAATATATACTGCATGGCCGTATAATATGCTCACTTTGGCTATTAGAAAGCCTGTGTACTTGCATTGTAAAAGTAAACACAATGCTTAGATCTATGATAATAGAACTCAACGGCACAGCATAGATTGTACAATAAAAATATCCTACTTGTTCTTGTGGCAGATCATGCCTCAAGTTATATTTATTAGCACCTGCGTTTGAAATTAATGCAGATCAAGCAAGACCAGAATCTTGCTAAAAATCCACCAACCAAAGTCAAACGTTGTGGCACTAGGAGCACTATAAATATAGCGACCGCAGTGGAAGATCTATGACGATCTTGCTTTATGAGACTATGAAGCGGGGCGCTCGAAGAGGAGGTTTCCTAATCGATATCTGGTATGCTTACTTTGATCTGCATCGCTGGTTGATATCCCTGCACACAAAGGGGGCAATGGGACTAAGAGCCAAAGTAACACAAACTTCCAGGCTTCGATTATACAAACTCAGGAGTCCAAATTTGAACACCATAATAGTAACATTTCAAAATCTATAAAGATGGGCTGTAGCCGCAACAATAGTTTGAATTAATCAACACGACACAGGAAACTCTTCACACCTCTACAGCTCTAGATAGCTATCATTGCCAACGGCCAAACAGAATAACTTCAACCCGGAAGATTTTTGGTTACTGTCAATTCAAGTAAGAGTCGCAATTTGAAGTATTACCAGAATTACATTTTAATAATTTGCCTAGAATGAAAGTCTTCGCCATCCTAACTCTCTTGTACTCCACCGCAGCAGCCACCGGCATCAATTGTAATGGAAACGCCAACTGCGTCGGCACACCAGAATGTAGACTATCCGATCTCATCTTGCAAGTCAGCCAGCAAGATCCTAGCACATCATACAGCCCAGGTCAGCACATTGCCTGTTGCGGCATACCTGGCGGCAATATCTGTGCGTTCACTCAGGGCATTAGCAATTCGATTACAGCTGGGGAAGCCTTGGGTATGCTACAGGGACTATCCGCTCACGGCTGTGGCCAGTGCGGCAGTATTCCCTTCAAGGACAACAATGTCGCCGAAGGAGAATTGACGGTCAACTGGACTGATAACTAGGTTATCCAGTGACCTTGCATACCTTTGATGCTCCAGTGCTTTGTTATCTCTTGGCCTATTTGCTCAAATGCAACAAGATTGGGTGGGGAATGGGATAACTACTTCAGGAATATCAACCCTATATAGAAGCAATGTGATTACTCTATTACTACACTATTAATGTACCTTTAATGATGGACTTTTGTGAATAATGAAGTGATATAATATCATTCGAGTTGCATATCAAATAATTTGTGTATAAAGCGGAAGAACTGACTATATGGTTCCGATAGAAGTCTGCTAACAAGATCTCTCTCTTTAAATAGCATAACATATGCTTACATGTTCAAATATCCGATTCCAATAGTTCTGTTGTCCAGGACCAGTGGGTTGGCCGTTGAATTGTATTGACCTCAGTTACCAACCACTTGGCAAAGACATTATCCGTTTTTAAGCATGCAAGTTTTGTTTCATCGTTCTGGATATGCTTCAAACTATTTCGTAACATTGTAGGCTGCCTGCTCTTGTTAAGTGTGGTATAACCCCCAACATTGGCATGTACTACTGTATGTGGTGTGACACCGGGTGCTACATCATTTGCTCTCTGTTTTTGGTTTTCTTTCGCGATTGATTAGCTTGGATAATAATAAATTAAACATCTTGAATCAACAGCACCTTACTATAACACCTTCCTGTAGGCACTATATGCCTACTTAAAAAACCTTCATTATACATGCTGCTCGTTGTGGTTCTCCTCATGTTAATTAGCTCTTGTGAGTGCCTTGCAGCAAAGGTTTTTGATCATCTTTTAAGCAGCTGTAATATTTGCGCACCGTGAAGCCAGCTGCATCAGATCAAATCACCCAATGTTACGAATTTGGGTAATTGACGTTTTCCCTTCTTTCTAGCGAAAGCGTCAACGTCTGCATCTTAGATTTTAAATAGTTAGTGGTTGATTTCAGCAATTGTTCCATTAATAATTTTAATGGGATGTTTTATATCTACCGCTTTCGCTTTTGAAGTTGGCTATGATATTGCACGATAAGTCCTAAACCCTTAATAGTGGATACTAGCGTCGTCGTGGTTTATGGGGTTGAGGGCTGTGTGCTGATCGTTTGAGACTTCCCCATTCTTCTTCGCACCCCCTTGGCAGCCTCAAGGCTATAATATATGGGCTAGTGGATCTAGATCAGTAAACACAGTGTGCATTGCTACATCATCCTTTCCTTTCTTTGCGGGCGGCTTTTATGCGTATAGTAGAGGCCTAGAGGGTACCGTCATCCTATTGAGCGTGTCCCTGAACCTGACAACGGGGTAGATTATACCTACTTAATCAATCTAACCAATCCTAGTTTGCTTAACTATAGATGCGCATTGATCCGACCTTAAGTATAGCTGTGAGGCAAGCGGAATACTTGAATATAAGACCGCTGAAACGCCCGAGACACGACATATGCAACCAGCTAAAGTACTTCATGTACAACCTAGGAAAAACAGTGCGTTTAAAACGACGAATCTGCATGCAGAAAACAAAACCCAGCCCAGAATACTTAGAAAACAAATAAAATCAACAGATGATTCATTTTCGCTGTGTAGTGTTTTTTTTTTCTTGCCGAATTCTTTGCGGGTGCGTAACGTAGCATTTATGCCGGATCTCCCAGCCTATTACACCACCGATCCATCCCCTGAAGGTTCTCATAGCATGGAATTGTGTGCCTTGTGAGGATCGAACGTTAGCTGTATGCCTTGAAACAATCCAGCGGCATCCGGTGCTGGCGCATCGCCGCCAGCGCAGCGATCCGCTGATATGGACGCAGTGCTAGCTACAGTGAGATAAAAGATCGACGGTATTCTCGTGTCAGATATTAGCCTGCTGTACGGAGGTACTGGAATAGAACTTGACGGCGGACGCGACTCTAGACTTGGCAACAAGAATGAACTAGGCCTATTGCCCATACAAGTACACTGTGAGCGGCCGCCCAAGGCGTCAATGCCACTGAACCCTTAAAAGATGACCCCAGCTTCCATGATTAACAGTACCTTCACAGAGGACATTGTGTCAACTCTGCCAGATCAAAGAGAACGTCACTGAAATCTCACATTTCTGAAAAAGCGTAAATTGAGAATCGAACAGTCGATTACTGTCAAGAGTCCCTTTACACAAATTGCTGAGAAACACTTTCATCTGCCCGTATCTCGTGTGAATTGTTTATTTAAATCTGAACCTTCCGTTATGCCACTAGCCCAGCTTTGGGCGGACATCGTATTGACGTAGCTCCGAGTATGACCGCGGTGTTTCCTTAATGTGAAGACGTGCCTCTATTTCTTAACGGTCTCTTGTTTTCCGTTATAGAGGTTAAGAACAGGGGAATTCTTATGACAGAAAGTTTTTCGCTTCAAGGAAGAGCTATTCAGTTGTTGAACAGAAAGCTTACGCCTCGGCTAGAGACATTTCACCGGACGTTCTTGGCATTATCATGCTTCTCAACTTCACTGCTTATAGAACTTGTAACATATCTGCGCATGATGTTCATACATGTGATTTGCTAGAGATTCTGAAACTAGTTCATAGCAATGGCGATTATTTAGCACCTGCTGCACTGCGAGCAGTATTTTGGGTCGACCTTTATGCGGCCATAGTCGTGGGTAGCAAACGACAAATGTCTCGCCTAGACTTACTGCAAAGGGTGAGCTCGCAACGATGAAGGGCGTCTGCAATTCTAGCATTTGGCGCCAGCGGGCTTTGATCGACGTAGCCATATGCTACCATACGAACTCTTCGACCGCACTGTAGATATTGCTAAGCTGCAAGCGACACTGTTTGAAAAGAACGTGACTAGGACGCCGCATACATCTAAGTTTTTTGAGCTAGATACTATGCAGGCATCTATTAAGTCCCACCTGGTATGTCTAGTCCGAGGATGCCGGAAACATTGATTTAGTGCTGAAGTTAACCGACTTGCAGTTTTTATGTGCTGCTATTGTACTTAGAGACGTAAAATGATAGCCTTGTCCCATGCAGGCTAGTTGAAATGCTACTTGACCTCTTGAAGTTCGCAATATTACTCCATACCCAGCAGCTGACTATCACTTGGATGCAGCAGCATGTAGATTTTCTTCTTTGGTCACTACTTGTCTAATCCAAGGTATCAATGTCGGAGTGGAGAGACCAGCTTGGTCTCAACTCAAGACAAATCTGCCTGGTCTAGTCAATCGCGTCTTTGAGTGATACGCTACGCAATTATTATGACAGAAATCTTGCGCAGAGGCTTCAACATGGGCGGACAGTTTCATCTATGCAGACGTATGGTTACGGTAGCGTTTATTTATAAAGGAGCGGTCAAAGCTGGAGCTACTGTTCAGTGCTAATCATTGAATCCCAGGGTTTAGTTTTTTTCTACCATCGCTACATGATTTGATCTTACAGCATACTCAAGGAGGAGTAACCTGGATGTACCACATAGCATATCAGCTGCTCGCAAATATTGTTTCCCTTTTTTATTGCAACGTCATAGGCCGCGAACTCAAAGGTCGACCTGAACCAGTATAAGAGAGCATGAAGCCCAGTTCTTCTGGTCAGCTCTAAGGAGTCTACCTTTATCTAAACAGCCGAAGATGTTAGAATTTTATTTCGTGAAGTTGGTGCCACTTCTTTCCCTAGCATAGTCCTACATTTGCCGTGAAGAACGTGGTGCCGATAGATGTTAGCTGGATACGCCGGCATATCTCTCAGATACGCAAGGCAATATATATTTCGTACTCTAGGTCCGATTTCATGGGCATGACGGGCTTTCGGTTTGGAAAAAACTTCAGATATAAGAAGTGTTGTTTTGGAGAATCTTAAACTAAACCGTGGCCCAGATCCAGGTTCCGTATTAACACTACGGGTAATATCTCGTAACAACGAAGCTACAAGCTATTCTTTCAACTTTTCGCTTCCAGATGAATAAAATACACTCAATTTCCGCCCGTCGTATTGCTCCTTTGGAGGAGGAAACCTGACTGAGATGGATCATCTCGACCGACCTCGCGACGGATAGCGAAAAGGAAGAACATCAAGGTTGTCTTTCCATAAATTCTACTATCGTTTTACCCAATAGGGTTTTTAACATGGCCCATTTTATATTCACCTCACGTAGGTAGACCCTCGGCTTCAAATATTTTTGACACAATACTTATACTGTGCCGTTTTTGAATGGCCAGATTTCAATGCAAGTAATACACTCTCTAACTTTATTAAAGACGGCTTCTTTACAGAAATTAGCTTTGATAGTGATGAAATTGTAGCTGTATCTAGCTGCAACTCTCATTCTAGCTTCTGTTTTCATTTGCACGTACACAGAAATCAATCCATAAGCCCAACTTACGGTTTGCGACTGTTAACCTTGGAGATGTTCAACTATGAATAGGTAAATGGAGAAGTAAAAGACGTAGAAGTGGCTGTTTTATTTAGTTGTCGCGTATCCCAATGTTTACGTACATTGCTATGTTAGAATGTCATATAGCTCGGAGTAATTACCACCCACTACCTATACTCCATTGTGCCAATTAAGGTAAGCTACAGCAAATGCAATTATCAATCTAGAGGCTGCTTAACGTTGAGTCAAATAAGGTTATTTATGCCTTGAGTAATGTATGTAAGAAATAGGGCCCCCTGCCAGCTCGAAAGCTATCAAGTGTATATACGTCTATCTATTGCATCGCGATGGCACTCAAGCCCGGCACTAGTAGTAAAGTTCAAATGCTCCCAAGCCGCAGCATGCCATTGTTCCCGATGATGAATGCAGCTAAGTCCGATCTGTCCCCGCCATGCGTAGAATTCGGACTGGAGTTGTTGACAAGAACTCGTGTAACATGTGTGTAACTCAGGAGTATCCGTATACTGTACACTGGGCCGGCTAGTGGCGGGTGTCAGGTAAGGCTAGAAAACTGTTTCTTGGAAGAATGGGACCAATTTGCGGACATCCGGGCTTGTTTTACCCTGGGGCGCTATTCGCCCGGAGGTCGTGGGAGCAGCAGGTAGCAAAAAATGGCGGGGTGGGTGGGTCGAGTGATATGGACTCAAGAGGGACAACGGAAGCTACGGCAGCCTAGCATTGGAACGCGACACGAAGAATTTTCTGGGATTTTCGTTTCTACCACTTGAAAGGCAAGTAAAAGTTAGAGATGCCTATATGGCCCAATGATGCTTTGTAGATTGTAAATACTTACCGACTGTAAGAGCAATCAATTTTTCCCCTGATACCTCTATTTCAGATCGATAATTGTCGGCACCGTTGCCGAGCCGTGACGCGCCATGATCATCATCTGCTACTGTGTGCCTCCAAGCTTCTCGTCATTGCGCTCACATAGATTCGTCACTACTACTAGTAGTAACCTTCCGTAATCATAACAAATGTTGGGATTGGTTATCCGGCACCCCCCAGTTTACATAGACAGTGCCCAAGGGAATGTCGTAACAATCCCTAAATGTACCGCTGCACACGGAGCTGCCGCCTAGAGAGAGTGGGCATTTATATTTCAGGCGCTTTACTCATTACCATGCCGTTCCTTGCATATTATATCTTCGGCAAAGCCGGTTTGCTGATAAGGGAGTGAAAGAACGAGCAAATGTGAATGCAGCTGAATTCATTTATCTTGGTTACACCGGAGTGCCACAAGCAATACAGCTGTAACCGGTTTCGGTTTGTATGGCATTGCGTTCTACCTGAAGGGCGTAAATCACTAACCGGTAGTCACGGCTTCAACGGCACAGCTAGACCAAGAGTAGCAAGCCACCTCGGGCTAAAACAAGCTTTGGCTAAGCACGAGGAAAATCGCATTCAAACTCACGTTCACCGCAATAAATAGCCAGGCTTAACATCTAGTGGTACCAAATAGTGAATTTACGCAGCTTCTCACACCAATCCATCCACAACGAGGAAATGGAGGACGGACAGACAATACAGTACCACGTTGAGTCTGCGCTTACGTTCTTGGGCCCTCTCTTCTAGGAGAGCCGAAACGCCATCATGGCCTCGAAGTCACCCGTTACGCATCCAGACAACCGAAATGCATCCATACCAGAGGCAGCATCGCCATCAATATCTGGAGTCTTGTCTAGATCCAGGACCGGGTCTACTGTCTACAGATCTGATACTGCGAGGCGTCTGCAACTCAAGTCGGTGCTACTCCAACAGACGCTGGATTGGCATACGGCTACGATGGCCATTAAAGCGTCGATACCACCGGCTGTGCTTGTATGCGCCATTCAATCGAATAGTTGGATCAATCACTTCAAGACCAATGCTTATTTAGCTCCCATTATATCTACGTGTGTTTTGCCGGCTCTCCCCCGCGCAATGCTGATTAGACACAATATTCGACTCACTTTTGTAATTGTTTTAGCCTATTGCTGGGCACTGCTTGCTGGTTGGTGTGGTGTTCAAGCCAGACATCATACGACACACAGCCTCAACGATACAAGCGCCTATAATTCTTCAGCAGAGGCGGTCGTGGCCATCTTCTTGATATTTTGGATTTGGTGCACGTTCACAGTAAAGTCAGCGTTTCCCAATTGGGGCCTTCAATGCACCTTGGCTGGCATCTTCACAGTCGCGACACTACCAAACATTGCTAGAGCCCCTACTATGCCAGAAGTGATTGATGAGACCAATGTTATATTGGAGGCTTTCTTGGTGGGACAGGCTGTTGGCTTTGTCAATGCACTTATCTTATTCCCTCAAAGCTGCAGAGGGCTCTTCAGAAAAGATGTAGGATTCTGTCTTGATGAGCTGGTGGCTGTCATGCAGGCTCAAAGGAAATGCATGGAAGAAACCTTACTAAAGAAAGCCTCTACTATAGGAGAAGAAGAGAATGGCAGCTCATCCATCGGTCAGCTCGAAGGCGCTCTACAACGATTTGTCAATGCAGTTGAAAAATCTCGCCAGGACAGTGAGTACGCGGCGTGTGAGATCTCTTGGGGCGTCTTTGATCATGCAAAGCTGGAAGAAATTTCTTCATTATTGCTCGATCTCATACCACCTGTATCTGGTTTGAGCTCAGTAGCAGATATGCTACAACTACATGTCGATGGATGTAATATCACCAGCGATGCTGGTGATAATAGTGACTCTGATGAGGCGGGCAATACTACATCAAGGGACGATGGCTGGCAACATCTCGAAATGGCGATGGATCAAAATTCAAGACAGATGTCTGATACGATCATTAAAGGCGTCGAGCACGCTAAACTTCGACTAAAGTTGACAAAGCGTCGACCTATGTTCAAAAGTTACCGCGTCAAAAATACCGATGAAGAGCATGAAGCTGGTATTACGCAGCCGGGAGATGTGACATTTCTCGAGTCATTTCGCGACGTGTTTAGCCATGGCCGCGTTCTCAGTCACGAAAATGAAGATATGAATAACAAAGAACTGCTTGATTGCTATATCCAGCATCGGCCGCAAATTGGGAATTTGAGTCAATACACTTCCGAAATGCATTACAATACGTTACGATACTTTCTATTTCTTCACGTAAGCGGTCCTTTGTCCAATTTACCCTTTCTGTTACTTGTAACTCAACATCATAGTCTCAAACCATCCTCTCGTCCTTGGGAGAAGAATTTCTCAAGCTCCTCGTTTACTTTGACGAATGTTATACCCACTCCAGGCGGCTGCTTATTCCACGCTTTCTTCAACCTCGATATTGGATTGAAAGATTTATTTCCCGGGGAGGCGTACCCCGAGACGGTGCTTCTCAAAATACAGGTGCTCAAACCAGCATCAAACTTGGTTCTTCGTTTTACAACCCCAAAAATCCTGACCATCTCCCGCCTAGCAACTTTATGGAGACTATAGGAGATTATATTCGAAAGATCAGCTCCATTTTCCGTAGTGACCATGCAGCATACGGGCTCCGAGGTGCTTGTGCCATTATGACCATTGGTATTATTGCATTTCTTCATGATTCGCAGGACTTCTATTTCGCGCAACGGTTTCTCTGGGCATTGTTTGCCATTTTACTTTCCATGGCCCGTACCGCCGGATCCTCAACCTTTCTTTTACTCGGTCGGGTACTTGGCACAATTGCTTCAATGATAGCAAGCTATATCATTTGGTATGTGGTCGACCAGAAGACTCCTGGTATATTAGTCTTCCTTTGGCTGTGGTTCCTCGTCCTTGGCTATCTATGTAAGTTTTTCCCACCGTCCATTCACGGTAAAGTTGATGTATTCATTGACCTATGTATTCTCAGTCGTCAAATTCCCTGATTTCTTCAGCATATGGTTTGTTGCTCTTGTCGCTTCGATTGTGATGATAGGAAATGAACTGCAAGTACGCAAGCTGGGAAAAGAAGCAATCATCAAATCCGGTCAAGTAGTCTATCCGCCATATATAATATTTCCTTATCGGCTTGCTGTCGTCACCCTCGGTGTCCTCACTGGTTACTTCTGGACAATATTCCCTTATCCTCTCTCTGAACATTCTGAGCTCCGCGAAAATATGGCAAAAGCTATGTATGGGTTAGCACGCTATTACATGTGCATCCAACAAACAATCCTTGCACGTCTTAGCGGCAATTTTGGCGACATCAGCGATAAAACGAGCCCCGGGTTTCACCTTCAGGCGGCTCGTCGCCGCATTTTCCATAGGTACCAAGCCTTGAACACTAGAGCTAAAACAAGCTTCCAGTTTCTTGACTGGGAATTTTCGCTTGGTGGCCGCTTTCCTAAGCAAACGTATGGAGAAATGCTCTCCATTCTCGAGCGCCTGGTAAGCTATATGACTCTCTCAAGCTACGTATCTCAGGAGTTGAAGGCTCCTGATGCCACTTCGTCTTGGTGGGCCCACGACCCAACCGGCACAGCTCAAGTTCATTTAACTCCAGGAGGCGTCACAACGAGAATGATCATACTGCATTCTGCGCTGAGTAGGGCTCACCCGCTGCCACCAGAATTAGAGGAGTTAGGAATACCTCACCTGGGTGAGTTCTTAACTAGGGATGTACCTGCAGATGAGAGATTTGCAGCCGCAGCATTAATCCATAGTGTTAATTGGTATTTGATTCGCGATATCAACCGTTTGACTGAGTAAGTAAGAATTGTTTTTGGCGGCATATATGCATATTCCTGCCTCTCCTTCTCCTTACCCTACTTTGAGTTTTTATCTGCCATCGTGTAATAGACCTCTGTGCTAACACGGTTTTGCACATCCAGGCTAGCAAGGGAACTCGTGGGAGAACTAAACTTCTCGTTTGTTATTGTTCATGATAATTATATTGAAAGCGGCCAATGACAGCGCTATCTGTAGTCATTAGTTTGGTAAAAGCGATATTTACAACTTAGCGTTATTCTTATATCTGCAGCTTCTCTTGCTGTTATTTTCTCAATTTATTCCATTCTGCCCGTTTCATTTCTTTTTCATGACCAGGTTCTCCTATGTCAGCCCATCTCTTGCTAAGCTTTCACACAATCCCACTGATGTCAAATCAGTACTAGGTATCATAAGATACGTGTCATTAGGGCTTATTACCATTCATATCCCTGTTAGTAGTCTATTCCAGCGGTGGGGTTAGCACCCATCAAAGGCAGGAGAAGCGCCGCCTCGATGTGTACTTAAGTCAGCATTGCTACTTTCCATCAATACTCAGAGGTTGTACCACTACGAAAATGACAGTCGGATCAGCCACACCCTGTTGAGTGTTAGAACATTAGATTTTTTTTCTTTTTTTTTTTTTTTGCCACAGCTCGAGTCAACTCCGATTTTTTGATGATGCGATACATCTCCTGCCTAATGTTACATGCCTACGAGTTAGCGCCAGAGATTATGCCATGAACGCTGATTCAAGAATATTCTGCTTCAGATAGACTATCTACGTTATTAGTGAAAGGCAAACGGGATTAACAACGCTAACAAATAAGATTTAGCATATAAAAGTGTAATAAGCTGGTAATATTAGTAAATGTAGCCTAAGAATTACTGTCTACACTAGGTACTGATTCTGGGGCGACCCTTATCTTGCCTACGATTTGCTGGCGCTAGCTTGCAAAGTCGGTTAGAGTACCAAAGCTTTAAATCTCCACTGGCTTAGGGCACTAATCCTTCTTTCTCTTTCCTTTTTTTTTAAAAAAAAAATTATATATATATGTATATATATATATATATATATATATATCATAAAATAAAAAAGATAGCACTACAAATCATATCACTACATTGCTGGCTGCCTCTGAAAAGACACCTAGCCGAGACTCGGGAGCCTTCTAGGAGCAAGCTAGGATGGCATATAAGCTTAGCTTTTTAGCTTTCTAGCTTTCTCTAAAAACAAAGGAATGAAAAAGGTTCCTTCTGTGACCCAAAACGTTCAAAAATGAAGCATTTAGTTTAGTCTATTGAGGGAAAGTTCCATGTAGTTTTATATCTTCGTAGGATTAATGGCCTATGCTTAGCTATGTGAGATTATGCGCTGAGGGACTGTTACACAGATGAACATCCATCAAGATAATCTAGCCCTTTCACCGAGACTACCTTAATTGGCAGAGACTCCTAAAGCTTTATTGAAAGCATCTGCTGCAGCCTGACCCTGAAGCTGAGAGGCCGCTGCGGAAGCGCTTTGACACTTCGAAACCACTGCAGCACCGGCTTTACAACTAGAATTGAGTCGATCGCAGATGAAGTCTGCAATGACCTTAATGTTTAAAGCCGAGCCATGATTGAAATCGTTTTCATCCACTGGTGCAAATGCGGGTTCATTGCGGCCATCAAGGCCGTTGGCGAACTTGATGCTGGGGTTGGAGCATGAGCCGAAACTGCCAGTAGCACCCTCTGCATTTCCATTCGCACTGTTACCGTTTCCAGCGCTGCTTGCCTCGTTGTTATTACTGCTGTTGTTGTTATTGCTGCTGTTGTTTCCGGCATTGTTATTGGCAGCACTAGATGTGGCGGCCGCTGTACACTGGGTGTTCTGCGTATCACATTGCCCTACTCCTCCGGAGAGTTTACCAGAGTTAGCGGCATTGGCACAAGCGTTGTGCTGAATACTGCAGGATCGTTGTAGAGCGGCTCCAACAGTCACAAAGGTATCTCCATTGACAGAAAATGGTCGGTTTCCTGTGCCTGAAATGACAGGCGGAGGAGGACCACCAAGGGTGCCGGTGAAAGTCTGAACGTTGTTTCCACTAGCTGTTGAAGTCTCACTAGTGCTAGAGGCTTCGGTCTGAGAAGCAGCTGGGGTTGATTTACTAGCTTGTGAAGCTTCAGTGGGAGTTACTACGGCAGCTGGCTGAGAGGCCTTCGCGGCATTGCCACTCGGCGTCGGAGCAGCGCCGTTTCCTTGAGCCTTGGCCGTGGAGAATTTGTTCAAGTCAACCAAATCTGTGGCCTGAATGCCGCCAGTACCAGTAAACGTTTGGGATATAGCAGCGGCCGCGGAAGCGACTTCTTCCTGGCTTGCATCGAGGACAAGCGTCCCCGTCGAGTAGATGCATCCAAGGGTAGGATCAGGGTCGTCGCAAGTTTTGCCCTTGGCAGTAGCATCATTCAGCTATGTATTTGTTAATCATCGGTAGATCCAGCTATGTCAATAAGGGAGTAAATCATACATCACCTGGGGCAAAGGTACCGCTCAGAAGGGCGAGGTTAGGATCTGCGCCGATAGCTTTGAGCTGCTTCGCCAGCTCAAGAGTGATACCCTTGTTTATAGAAGCAGCACCAGCAGACGCTGGGTCTTGGTGTGGCTTTACAGCTTGAATTTCTGGGTTCACAGCTTGCTCGGTACAAGTGACACTTGCGAGTCCAACTTTGCCAGTATTTCTCTCCAGGGCTTGGTATACCAATGCTCCCGCCATTAATCGAATATCTCCAGCAGCTTTAGCATTGGTAAAAGCCTGATCAGCTGTCTCTTGTTTGAGGCAGTCAAGGTTGGTTACACTTCCAGCGCCGCCTGCCGCTGCTGCATTACCAAGAAGACCAAATACAGCATCTTTGATACCCTTTGGGTTGCTCTTTGCTAGAGCTTCGTTGGTAATGGAGAGAAAAACATCATGGGAATGCTCCTGGGGAACCTCTCGACGAAGCATATTTGACGATGGTAGAGGTAGACCGAAAGCCTGACCTAGAAGCAAAGCTGCCGCTGCAGAGGTGCTTTGAAACTTCATAGCGATTGAACAAAAAGACGATTAAATTGTAACACAAAAGAGGTTTATAAGCAGCGAATGAGGATTGAAATGGAAATAAAGAGTGTCAAACTCCTAAGGAACAGACCAGCCTGCTGGACAAGAAGAATAAAAGACCGAAACAACAAGAAAACAGAAATTGGCAACGGTGCAGGACAGTTTCCAAAATACAACACCAGCCGGCTACTGGGACATTATATACCAAATCTCTCGGTTCTAGACTCTCTGTCGACCCCTAGTATACCCTCATAAGCGACGTTTCCGTAGCCGCTCTATTGCTTGTTTCGTAAATCCATCCAGGCGGCAAAATATTCTATCTAGGAGCCCAGATTCTAAAGTGCAGAAGTAGCACAGGCAGAACGCCAGGCACTTTCTCCTTGGTGCTTTTGTTCCTGGTCTCATGTGCCTGAAGTGGATTTTGCAGGGTCGCCTGAAACAGCTGGCGTTTGCGGTGCAGTGAAGTCAATTATTTGTAAGCAACAATACGTAGGGGGCGTACAATTGCAGCAATACTAGTTACTATCTTATACTAGTATTTATTTTGAAGCTATCTTTTGAATTTAAAAGATAAAAAAAAAAAAAGGAAAAAGAAAAAAAAACCAGCCGATCTTCTATTTTTCAAGTAGTAAGGGTCTGGAAGACAAAGTCCAAGCTACATTTATTATGTACAGAGCGGCGTGCATGTACTATGCCGTAGTTTGCGACCAAGGGGAATTTGTGGGCCTAGAGAAATTGTGCTTTGAATCAAACCGTGTTTGGTATTTTAAAGTTGCATGTTTCATATAAAATACCTGGGGCTATGTCGGTTATATTTTAAACGTGATATAGATAGAAGTATGCCAAGCATTTAAATAGCACCTCAGGGTTACTTAACTTGTTTGACCGCGCTGAAGTTGGCTTTCCTTGGCAGGCCTCGCAAAATCCCTGTAAAAAACTAGCGGGTTCATTTGTTCCTGGAAATGTTCCACAATTGTTATCTACCCTATTTTTGTTTCTTACTCACGCAAACTTTAGCACTGAGTCTGGCCATATGCTTAACTCAGAGTGAGCAAATCGTGTAGTATTATCTTATACTAGTCTCTAAATAGCCTACGCCTGATTGGAACGATTATTTGCTTCTGAGCTGAATTTGTTGTTTTGGAGACAAACAAAATCTAGTTTTCCATCGATATAAGCATAATATTATATTTCCTGAAGTATACTTTATTAATAGAGTTTGGTTACTCAGAGTAATTATCTCTCGACATTGTTTTTATCAATAAAATCGCTTTATGCAATAGCTTCATACCTTTTCTTCAGGGGGTTTGGGGGGGGGGGGGATTGTCCTTTCTACCCTTAACATACTCATCGAAAATATGCTCCCAGAATGTTAAACCTTCAATATAATCCAAAAACTATACTACCCCTAGTGGCATTACTTCAAGATGACTATTTTAAACAATAACTCTAATATGTATTATGATAGAATATATATAATGGAAAAAAAGTATAAACATTTCTGCAGGGTTAAAAACATATGTCTAATATAATGGAGCGAGCTAAACCTATGGTGCTATTTGCTGAATCTTCGATAAATTGTAACAAACCGTACACTAGATAGTTAGTATAGGGTAGATTCCTAAGGGATAAACCTAGAATAAGTTCTTCAGGTTTATATTAGCGAATAGATTAAGAAACCTATAGGTAAAGATATTACAATAATAGTTACCAGTAAGAATTAAAAGTGCTTTTTAATCTATAGATATAAAACTATATTAATAACTGGCTATTTAAGTTATTTAAATAAAAGAAAGAAGTAAACTTATATATTTAGTTAATTAGGCTGGATTATTTATAGATTTTAATAATCTATTGTAGATTATCTTATAAAATTAATAATCTATTTATAGATTATTAAATTATTATAATAATCTAATAATCTATTATAATTAGTAGGTCGGTCTTACATTAATCCAGTTTAGCCTACTCTATAGGCCTATTATTGCAACTATAAGAAGCAGGTTATAATATAATACTCCCCTCCTGTTAATTTTATTCCCAAGACCTTTATAAATCTTAATATAAATAATATATCCCCTATTTAATAAATGCAGTTATTCCCTAGTTCTTTTACTAGCATTTTTCTAGTTCCTTCTTACTAACCTTATTATACCAGACAAAATTTCAAAATCAATTTATCCTAAGACCATACATTACAAGTCTTTATTTAAATTAATTATTACTAATGCTAATAAAATAAATAAACATTATTCTTTCTATATTTCTAAAAGTTATTAAAAATATTTATTATCTTTTACTAATTCTTCTTATTATTTAAAATATATTAAATTAAACCAGTTATATTATAATATCTAAGGTTTAACTTTAAAGCAATTAAAGTATATTACTGTATATTATTTTTATTTAAAAAATAAACTTAAAAAAGCTAAAAAAAAGTATAACGAACCGTACACTAGATAGTTAGTATAGGGTAGATTCCCAAGGGACAAACCTAGAATAAGTTCTTTGGGTTTATGTTAAAGGATGGGTTAGGAAACCTATAGGCAATAATATTATAATAATAGTTACTAGTAGGGATTAAAAGTGCTTTTTAATCTATAGGTATAAAACTATATTAATAACTAACTATTTAAGTTATTTAAGTAAGCATAAGAAATAAACTTATATATTTAATTAATTAGGCTGGATTATTTATAAATTTTAATAATCTATTATAGATTATTTTATAAAATTAATAATCTACTTATAAATTATTAAATTATTATAATAATCTAATAATCTATTGTAATTAATAAGTCGGTCCTATATTAATCTAGTTTAGCCTACTCTATAGGCCTATTATTATAACTATAAGAGGCAGGTTATAATATAATACTCCCCTTCTATTAGTCTTATCCCCAAGACCTTTATAGATCTTGGTATAAATAATGCATCCTCTATTTAATAAATGCAGTTATTCTTTAGTTCTTTTACTAGCGTTTTTTAGTTCTTTTTTATTAACCTTATTATATTAAATAAAATTTTAAAATTAGTTTATCCTAAGACTATATATTATAAGTCTTTATTTAAATTAATTATTGCTAGTGTTAATAAAATAAATAAATATTATTTTTTTTATATTTTTAAAGGTTATTAAAAATATTTATTATCTTTTATTAATTTTTCTTACTGTTTAAAGTATATTAGGTTAAATTAGTTATATTATAATATCTAAGGTTTAACTTTAAAGTAATTAAAGTATATTACTATATATTATTTTTATTTAAAGGATAAGCTTAAAGAAGCTAAAGAAGAGTATTAATATAATAATATAAAGGTTAAGTGTTTTTATAAGTAAAAGAAAATATAATATAAGAAGATAAAATATATGGTTTTATAGGGTATTATAGATTTAAAGGAATTAGATTATATTAAGTATAAAAAGGCAGAGGCTGCTGTTTATTAAGCTATTATATTAGCGCCTAGTTCTATTAGTTTATTTTAGTTTATTAATATTGTTAATTAGTCTGTGTTTAACTTAGACCTGTTGTTATTTCTATCCTTAAAGACTAATGATATTCCTGCAGGATTGCTTAAGTATTTCTCTTAAGTTCTTTCTTAAGAACCTATAAGTTTTTAAATAAGTTATACCCTTTCTATTTTATAAAATATTCTTGCTTATTTATTTCTTTATTTATTTATATATAAATTATTTTATTAATTTTATATTCTTTTTCTTTATCTTAAATAATAATTTTATTTATAATTAGCTTGCCTATTTTTTTATTTACTAATACTTTTTCTAGTAGTAAAATATAAAAAATAACTGTTTTTAATTTTATATTATTGGGTAGGTCTAGCTTATAGTTAACTTCTTTAATTTTCTTTAAAATTTTAAATAGTTTAAGTTTTTTAAAGTCTAGTTTATTATTTAGTTAATTTATTTTAATATTTAATAACTTTTTATTATATAAATACTATAGTAAGTAAGCTATATCCTCCTCCTAAAGGGTTAGTTCTTTAATTTTTATATAGTTAGTTTATTATTTTATATAATTTTAAATAAACTTAAATTATTTTTTAAGTTCTTTTTATAATTAGATTATATCTTTAGCTAAGATTTAAGTATTTTCTATATTTAGGCTATTATAAGGTAGTCTATAGGCTTCCAGTATAAATCTATAATTAGTGTAAAATAGTATAACTCCTGTAGATTTTAAAATAAAACTATTATATTAATTTTATACTATAGGGAGTTTTTTTACTTAATTATCTTATATAAGGTTAATATAGTATTATAAGTATACTTTAATAACTTAATTTATTTTTTTTATTTAGCTATTTATTTATAAATAGTATATAGTATTTAATTTATAGTAAATTTTAAGTTTAATTATTAATTTTTACTAAAATTTAAAAGCAAAAGTATTTTCTTTATTTAATATAATTTCTATTAGTAATCTATATTTTATAAATATATATTATATATAAAAATATATTAAATTTTTTATAGTATAAGATTTTTTATATAGTAAAAAGTAAACTTGCTTAAAGAGCTTATTTACTACTATAAAGATATTATTATAGATTATATTAGTTAATAGTTTCTTTAACTTTAGTAAATTAATAATATAGTTAAATATAATAGTATATTAATTCTATTTAAAAACTAAAATAAATTATAATTTTTTATATAGCTAATGTTATTTATTTTTTATTTTTTTATATATATTATATTTTTTAATAACTTCTTTAACTTTTTATTTAAGTTTTTTAAAGCAGTAGTAGTATAATATATAATTATAAATAGTTTATATACTTTAATATACTACTATAATTATGCTATAATAAATATCTTATATTGCTTTTATTTATAATTCTTCTAGTATTTAAATTTATTTGCTTTATTTTAAGAGTTTATTAATTATAGTTACTTTTTTAAAGAACTATTTTAATTACTAATCTTTAATTTAATCTTTAATTTTATTAAAGATAAAATTATATTTTTTTATAATAAATAAAGTATTAATTTTAATTTATTTATAATTCCTTTAATTATTTTTATATAGGATTTATACCTTAAATTTAGGAATTTCTTTAAAATATTCTTCTTTTTAGCTTAATGCATTAGCTTTTCTATTTTTTATTCCTTTATAATAAATAATTTTAT